TTTTTTTTTTTTTTTTTTTTTTTTTTTTTTTTTTTTTTTTTTTTTTTTCAGTAGCTCTTGTCTCTTTTTTATACAGTCAAACACTGAGTAGACCAGTAAAGATCTAATTTATATGCATGCCATCATATTTTTATATTCTATTCCGGGCTCTGAAGGTCAAGCTGTGCTAGTGTGGGCTCGGGTGCTAACTGATAGGGTTAGCAATTCTCTCATTAGGATTTGTTAATAATTCAGCTGATGTCTGAGTGAGGAAAGAAGGCTGTTCCCTCTCCTGTAGGGGCAGCAAGGCCTGCAGAAGTGACACACATTATGGTCAATAAAGTATGCAGATAAGGGGCTCTTTAGAGGAAATAATGTCACCCTTATGTATGCAAAAATATTCTGATACGAAAACAGATGTAAAGCTGCTGCAGGTGGACTGGACTTATGGTTAAAAATGTTGGATGAAGACTTGAGATAAAAATCTTGCAGATTGGCCACAATCTTAGGGTATGCCATGTAGTATAAAAAAAAAAAAGTGTTAACTGAAGTTAACTGAAGTAGTGTCAAATTTAGGCATTTAAATAATTAAAAATCTTTTGGAAAATATCTTTATGCTGAATAAAGATATTGTATGTCTGAGTGTGTTTGTCTCACTTGGTGCAGCCTCACTAGGGATGGATACCTGAGTGGGCTTTGAGACAGCCTGTTCTGCAGGAAGCATTTTTGGGATAATTTGTCCAGTCTTGAGACACTCATTATCTCAGGATGAGGTGGCAGATAGCATATCCCATTCCTCCTTGTTCCGGACACAGACCAGACAAGTTCTTAGGTGTTACCTGGAGCTGCACTGCACCGTGCACAAGTAACTGGAGACTCCTTCTCACTGACAAAAGGAAAGATGAATATTCCCCTGAATTTATGGTCTTTGAAGTTTGAGTTGTAGGTATTTGACAAGTGAACTGAAACTAGAGGGTTGGTTCACACCCCTGCATTACCCTATTAGTATAATGAGAGAATATGGTTCACCTGAAGAGAGGTTGTTTATGTTTTTTTCATTTTCTTTTACATGAAATCACAGAATTATGTTTCCAGTCTCATTCCTGCATGTCATGCAGCAGCTGATAATGTTTGTGCAGAAAAGGATGAAAAGTCTTTGTCTTTCTTCATCCTACCCTCTCTACCTACCAAGGGAAAAATGATAATTATATTTTTCGCTGGGCCACCCTATAAAAATTACTTTTTAAAACAAGTATGTTTAACCTTTCTTTCTAGAAAACCCTTGGTCTCTGTGGATCTGGACAAGTGACATTAAAAATGCAGGAACAGATGCCACCATCTTCTTCCAGGTTTATGGAGATAAAGGAAAGTCAGATGAGATGAAGCTAGACAACAATTCAGACAACTTTGAAACAGGACAGACTGACAAATTCATGGTATGAATCTTGTGGAAATGGTAGATTTGGCTTGGGATTGTTTTCCAGGGTTTTATCTTCAATCCTGGGCAGAAAATCATCAGTATGAGATTTTTACTCCATTAGATCCTTCTAAAGTTGAGGTAAAGTCAGTCCATTGATGGTGATGCAAATTATATACTTGTCTATGGGTATACTTGTCTTCCCAAAACAGGGAATGGGCTGGTATTTTTGACTTCTCTCTGATTTAGCTCTTAAAAGATGCTCAGAGGTGCCCTTTGTGTGTGTGCTTTGACTCACAAAAATGGATGTTTTACCTTTTTTATCCCTTTACAGATAGAGCTTCCTGATCTTGGCAACTTTTATAAGCTTCGGATATGGCACGAGAAAAGAAACCCCTTTGCTGGCTGGCATCTGAATAAGGTGAGGGGACAGCAAGGGAAGGTAGATCTGGAAAGCCAGGCTGGTGGCAGAGCTCTGCATTGCTAGTCCTGGGTCACTGTGTTCCCCAGCTGGCAGCTGAGCTTGACGTGCATTGCTCTGTGGTGCCTGCCTTGTTAGAGGACAAGATAAAATCGTCTAAAGTTGCACCAGAAAAGGATTAGATTGAGTATTAGGGAAAATTCCTCCAGAAAGGGTTGTCCAGCCCTGGCAGAGCTGCACAGGGCAGTGGTGGAGTCCCCATCCCTAAAGGGATTTAAAAGCCATGTGGATGTGGCACCTGGGGACAGGGGTCAATATTGGCCTTGGAAGTGCTGGGAAAATGGTTGGACTTCATGATCCTGGAGGGCTTTTCTAAGCCAAATAATTGTGTGATTTTGTGTGTGGGAAATGACAGCAACAGGGAGAGGCAGCTCCCAACATTCCAGATTGGTGGTGAAAATCCCACTTTCCCACTATTCCCATGTCAGACAACTGGTGTACTGTACTCATCTCACTGCTATCAGGGGTTTCTTCCCTGTTCTTCAGAAAGGAAGAGCAAGGAAGAAGAACAAGGTATCCAATTCTTAGACAGTAGTCCTATTCTTAGATACCACTACTGTATAGAAAGGCAAACCCACTCCTTCTGTGGCTTAATTACAATTCCCATAACAAAAAACCTGATTCCAGCAGAGACTGGACAGTGTATCATGCTCTGCCCTGAAGTGCTGACAGCCCTGTGATGGGGGCTGAACTCCTGCAGGCTGGAGGAGGCAATGCAGACTGTGAAGAGGAGTGCAGCCCTGTGCTACCTGGGATATGCCAAGGGTGTCCTGCTTGGTCTTCACTCACATGTCCTTTACTCTATCAGCATTGATTACAGTCCTGTCACCCCTGACCTGGATTGTCTGGACAGAAATTCCACCTCTAAGCTTGTCCTGGTTTAGGGCAAATTTGGGATAGAACCCCCCCAAAGGGTTCCTCTAGGAAGCAGATTCAATTGGCCCTTCTCCCCAACCAGTTCGGGAAAGATACCTCCTTGGAGAAAAGTGGAACAAACCTGTTTATTAAACAAGCAAACTTAAACAATATTAAACAATAAAATTTCTTGCCACTCCAAGAGAGACAAACTCAGAAACCCCCTGGGCTGCAGCTGGGCTCACTCAGTCTCTGATCCGTCCCTCCGGCGCTGGAAATGCCACGGCCCAGGCCCGGCCCGCTGGGCCACCGGCGATGCTGCTGCTGCTCTCCTGGTGTTCATCCAGAGCAGGTCCAGGGAAAGGGAAAAAACCACAGTCCAGGGAACTTCTTTGCCTCAGCTAGCTAAAACTAACTAAAGAGCAAAGGAGAGCTCTGTCTCACTGTCTGTCCATCAGCAGACAACACAGTCCAGCAGCAGGAATGTGGAGGAGGGAGTGCAGTTCCTGAAAACAAACTCCACGCTTCTTCCTCCCCCTTCACTCTTGGAACAAGCCTTAAAGGTGTAGAACTTATTATTCAACATAAACAGGGCAGACAGGGGATAAAGGCATCATACAGTCAACCTAGGACAAAGCTTTACACCTGGTCTGCCTGAGCAGCTTGGATGGCACTCTCTGCACTTAAAAAAACACACACTTTACTTTGCATCTGTAAATAAGTGTTTTGATAAATCAGAGTTTACCACTTGGAGCTTTTTCTTGGGCTTCTCTAATGTGCTTTGACAGATCCTGCTCTCCTGCATTGTTATGAAACTTTAAAATCATCCACTGCCAACACCCATCTCGAGGGGTAGAATGGCATCAAGTGCTGCTGTTGTCACCACATGATGGGAGAAGATGTTTGGCTGGGGTCTTTCATGACAATAAAATTTCTGATCAGACTTTGGGCTGCTACAATCATCCCTATTAGTTTGTTCACAGATGATGAGCAAGAATGTTTGTATCTTCCACAGCTGTATATTACCCTCTGGTATCTTATTTTCCTGCAGAAAAATTATGTTTGGGAAGGACAAGATGTAACAGAGAGTATCTAGGATTCCCTTTTGGCCAAACTGTCTAAGTAAACCTAGCTAAGATGCATGAAATGAATTTCTGTTCTAATGGTTGGACTCATTTTAGGCCTTTTTCAACCTAAATTATTCTATGATTCTATGACTTTATGAAAATAAGTCTGTCCATACACGCATTCTGATGTTTTCTGGATGGATCAGGCTCATGGCACCTGAATCCCATCACTTGTGCACCCATTATGGCATCTAGGAAATTAGATTAAACCTGAATGATGCTTTGTTCCAGTCCTCTCACATTTCATGCCTGGTTTGCTTCATGTTGGGTGAGACTTCCATTCTCTATCACAGGAATCCAGAACAGCCACACTGGTCAGGTCAAGAGTCCCTCGAGCCCAACATCCTTATGTCACATAAGGTCATGGTTTTAGAAGTGTAAGAAAAAAGACAAGCATTTATGATACTTCCTCCTAACATTCTTTCACGTTTTGGCTATTCCCAGTTAGATGCTTATTTCCTAAACTGACTGGCAAACAGAAAGCATTGAGCAGGTTTATTTTTCCAATTACTGGTTTGAAGTATCCAGCCTCCCCTTGAACATTTAAGCTTTCAGCAACCTTAATAGCTTTTGGCAAAGACTTCATAGGCTGATTGTGTCCTTTTTTTTGTTTTGTTTTGTTTCGTTTGGTTTGGGTTTTTTTTTTGGTTGTTTGTTTTGTTATGTTTTTTGGGTTTTTTTTCTTTATTCGTTTTTTATTTTGTTTTTTTGTTGTTGTTGTTGTTGTTGTTTGTTTCTTTGTTTTTTGCTTAGAACTTTGTTCCACAGGTGTCATTTGATGTCCTGTATTTCTTGAGGCAAAAGAGGGAACAGCTGATCCCTCTTTGCCTTCTCCATTGTCACCTGTGATTTTACAGACCTTCATCACACCCTTGGTTTACACACTTCAGAGAACCACCTTATTTGTTCATTACTCCTTTGGGAGCTACTGCAGATCTTTTTTCAGGGTTTCTGCAATTTTTTTTTTCCTTGATGCATTGATTCTCATCCTCATCAGCAAGAGCCCACAACACATGCCCGATCCCTGATTTGATCCTTAGGGTTGTAGAGTGGCATATGATGAGCCATTTGCAGAGCCTCAGAATCCCTCAAAAAGTCCTCAATGCCATGGAATGATTGGAGAAAGGAGGAATGAAGGGCCATCAGCTGTGACAGATTTTGCATCACTACAGTGCACAAGCTGGACGGTCTCGTTATTAATGTGTTTTATTTTTCTGCTGCTACTGAATTTTGCCTCCCTGGCAAAAAACCTGTCAGGATCTTGTTGTTTTTTTTGCCTTTAAGCCTCTGAACTCATGCGGTGTTTTGGTTTAATGAAGGTAACTCTGCTGAAAACGCTGACAAAAGAAAAATACTCATTCAACTGTGGCCGTTGGCTAGATATAAATGAAGAGGACAATGAGATTGTGCGGGAGCTCCCTGCCGAGGGACATCTGGTGACTGAAGTCATGCCAGGTGAGAGCCACGCACTCTGTGCAGAGGCTTGCTTAGGACCTGAATAGAAAGAAACCCTCTTTGTGTGAGAGATGCACTGGCAGACTGATGCAATTCAATTAACTTCTCTTTCTGGCATTTTCTCTCTGCAGTATTTTCTGTGTGCATCATTAGCTGCATGAAGTTTGAGAGATCCCAGCCTTTTATTAATACTTTTTTTTTTGGGAGCAGATTTCTCTGTAGTGGGAAATGGAAGAGATCTGGCCACAGCACAATTGTTTCCAGGGCTTGGGTTTTTTTAAACTTGTCATTTTTCTCCAGTCTCCTTTAAAATGTGAAACACAAGGTTTGAGGAATATTCATGGAAAGCAAGCCTAGCTGAAACGCAATCTAAAATTTGACAATCATATTTTGGGCTTTAAAGTTTTACTTAGTTATATGCAAATTCATGCAGCTGTATGTATAAATATATCGTAAGTTGCACAGCACAGTGATGTGTGCATATGCATCTTTCAGTATGTATGAGCAATCCAAACTATTTACTCATTTAATTGATCTGGCAATTTAATTAAGGAAAGCTACAGAACTTTGCCCTGGCTTCCTGGAGTGGCCACTTCTGCCTTGACCTTGTGTCACAAGAATTACATCTACTTAGAGGGAGAATTTAGGAGAGCAGAACATCTCAAGGTAGCCAGTGCAATTTTTCATCTTTCCACCAAAGCACCCACACTCTGTAGACCTTGAGTCCCCCATTTTCTAAAATTTTTGGTTCTGACATTGGTACTCTGCATGCAGTGGAGCAGTTTCTCAGAAGAGGAAGAGTAATTGTAATTGCAGATGTTATTAAAATGTAAATAAACCTAGTTTTGAAATGTATTTTTAATCAGCTGTGGAGAGGGCAGCTTGAATCCTCACTCAGACATTTTCCTGTATGGAGAATTTGTGCTGAACAGAGGTGAGATGCAGCATGTCCATGTTGGGTTTGCAGGAGGATTTTGGAGGGAGGATGGGAGCATTGCTTCTTGTCCCTTCTCCAAGCTGGAGAAAATGGGTTCTCTCTCAAAAGTTGGTCTGTGGGCTGGCTTCTTGTTGTGATATTCCTTTCTGGAAATCCTTCACCCAATGGGATGGGAGGGCAGAGAGGAGGGTATGGTCAGAGGAGAAAGAGAGCAGATCAAAATCCACCCAGAAAAAACATATGATGACCCTGAAGGTAAAAAGCAGCAAGACTATTCAGCCTCCTGCATAAAGCTTGGACTCTTATAGGGATGATCCTCGGGGGTCTTTTCCAGCCTTTATGATGTGATGATTTTATGATTCTATGATTATAACCATCCCAAGGGGATGGGGCCAGCTGGACCTATCTTGTCCCATAAATCCAACATGAACAGCCTAATCCTCAGGCCTCTGAGTACTTGTCCCTTCCTAACTCTTCTTGCCTGCCTGCCAGGGCCTTGGATGCTGGAAATGTTATTTTCCCCACTCACATTGTAAGGTTTCCCACCCCAGGGCCATCTTGGGAAGGCAGGAAGGATGTAGCAGGACAGGGTCACTCCACTGCATGACATTTTTCTTGATAGAGCCAGGATTTTTATGTCCTTGTTTGGAGTATTTTCATGGGTTCTCTCAATGCTTCAGATCTTTGTATTTTAGCTTTCTCCCCCCCCTCCCTCCCCCCCTTTCCCTAGTGGTGACATGGAAGCAGGCAAGTCAATACTCCAGTGGAAGTACCAATTGGAAGAAGTACGGACAGCTAAAGTTAATTACAAGCCTGTCAGAAACACGGTAAATTTTAAGAACGGTGATTAACAGCATTTCTGGGGTTGTTTCTGTGACTTGTGTCTCCCCAGTGATCAAATACCGCGTGACAGTGTGCACGGGCACAGTGAGTGGCAGCGGCACGGATGCCAACGTCTTTGTCTGCCTCATCGGTGACCAGGGGGACACGGGAGAGCGTGTCCTCTACAACTGCATCAACACGGTCAATAAATTTGAAAAGGGCAACGTAAGTTCGCACAGCGGCGCCTCAACACAAGGTTCTTAAAGCATGTGATGATTTTATAAATTAATTAATTTATTTTTTTTAATGTATGTTTGTAGACTCATGGTTTCCTTGCCAGCTCGGGCTAGGGAAGTGGGGAAAAATTAATAATTTCTCAACAATAATCTTGTCGACAGAGCATTGTAATAGGTCACAGCTGGAGGGAGGCTTGGGTCAGGGACAGTGTGCCCTTGCTTGACGTATGCCCATGAAAGAGTCTCTTTGTTTGCTCCCCAGCTAAGTTCTGACTGCTGAAATTGCATCTTCAGATAGGGGAAGGCTTCCAGGAAATCTTAGAAGAATAAAAGAGAGGCTTTTTCCTTCCATCTAATACAGCAAAAATTTGGCTCTCTGTGGCACAGGAACAAAAAAAATCTCATTTAATGTGAAAGTCATAACCCAAAGCCTAACATGTTTCCTTTGTAATTCCTCCAGTCTCCCTCAGCCATGCAGCACTCTATTTTATGTCTTATTTTCAAACTGATTTTCACCATATTTTTGCCTGTCAATGTCCGGAATGCAGGGGGATGGAAATGAAGTGAAATGAAGACAGATCTTATTCCCTGGAAAGCTGGAGATAATGAAGAAGTCAAACAGTAGTTAAAGCCCTTGCAGCATTGGCAGTATCAGCTAGCAAATAGTTTGCTGATCTGATCTGTAGGGTCAAGCTACTTAGTGTGTATCCAATTTTGGATCTTTAGGGTCCAAGTTAGAGTGGTAAATTGTAATCAATATCTCCAGAAGGAGGTTTTGAGAATCTGGTCACGGAACTTCACAGGTTTCCTCTCTCATGTCATTATTTGATTGAAAGTTTAGAGTGGAAAGAAAATTAAGATAAAAGGAGGTCACGTTTTCAAAATAGACCATTGAATTTAGGCTTCTGAAATATGCATTAGCACTTTGAATTTGCCTTTGAGTGTCCAGAGTTTCTAATTCTTCACTGAAATCACTGAGTTCTTCTAAACTTTAAAAGAACTTTCATCAAGTATTTCTTGTGCTTTTAAGATCTGTCCGTGGAAATGTGGCAATTATATAGTGTGAGAGTCCATTCTGCTACTAAATTATATACAAATTTGCATAAATGGGCTTTGCAAACATATTATTTTTTGCCAATGTATTAACATTATATATATTTTAGTTTTAAAAGGTATATCCAAACAGTACAGGATGGTATTTTGTCATTTGACGAAGCCTGTATTTGTCAAAGTGGTAGCAAAATGAGTTGTGTTTTGGAGCTGAAGATTATTTCATTGCAGTTCCAAAGAAAGGTGCTTGGTTTGCAGAGAATACAAATATTTTAAACACAGATAATGGTTATTTTATGGAATGTTCCATCCTTGTCCAAGTCCAGGTTGAATGAGACTTGGATCCACTTGGTCTAGTGGAAGGTGTCCCTGCCCATGTCAGGTCCCTTTAAGGTCCCTTCCAACCTAAACCATTCAAGGGTTCTGTGATTATTCTATGATTTTTTTTTTTTTTTTTCACAAAAATAAGTTGTAGGCTAACTTTCATGAAGGAGGATAAAAAGGGAAAAATAATTTTGGCAATCAAATGATGTGATTAATAGTATTCAGATGACATAAACCAAACTGGAGCCTATAAGTGGAAAACTGCTCTTCTGCACGAGGAGCTGAAAGCTGGTGAATGAATGGGGAGTTGTTTAAGAATTGATCCTGATAAACTTACAGCTCATATATTCAAGAGGCTGAATGAGTATATCTACACTGATTAACTCAGATACCCTGTTGAAAAGAAATGTTGCTAAGTCAGTATGGTCTCTTATCTACAGCCACTTAAACCAATAGTACCTTGATTACCCATTTGGCTTAAAAAGTTTGCCTGCAGATGCAAACTAACAACCTGTGTAGAAAGTAAGATTTAAAGATGCCTCTAAATTAAGTGTTTGCCCTGTTGTGGTTCCAGTTAGTTACTTACTCATTAATTTATATCAGCCATTAATAAGTAAGGTAAGCATCAGGACTGATGAATTAAATTACATTGACTTGGACTGAGTCAGTGAGGTTTTGATGCCTTAAATACCCAATTCAGCAGTTTTTAGTGTGCAAGTAGCATTGACATATGTAAGCCCACCACTAACAGTTTAAGCAGTGGCAAAATGCTTAGCTGTCTTCATTCTGAAGGCCACTTTGGAGCCCTGAATGATAACATAATTATTATAATTTTAATTAATTTCAGTATTTCAGACAGCATAAATACTGTCTTGCCACCATGCTTCCTGGGAGCTAGCTGGATATGTGATACCATCATGAGTGCTTTTGGGACATGAAGAACAACCAAAAGACAGTGGTTATCTATCTTTTACCTAAGAAAGGCATCTCATCCAGATGGCCACCACAGCAGACATGTCTCCTTGTTGCGCTATATGCTGCAGATATGCTGTGTGTTTGTACCCAGGATTTACCATGCTTGTGTCATGTGTGTGCATCTGTACATGGGCTACAGATATTTTTGCCTGGCCTGGTTCCCAGAGGAGCAACTTGCTCTCTTAATGCAATTCTCTTCCCTCATTCATCAGGGATTGCTGGTACCAGTCAGCTCCTGCGTAACAGAGCTCTGCTCTTGAGGGGCCATCCCTTGGGATAATCTGTAGGTTGCTTGAGCCCATCTCCAGGAAAAAAAAAAAATAAAAAAAAAAAGAAAGAAAAAAAGATATTAAATCTATGTCTCTCGTGTAGTATTGAGGGTATTTATCTGCTGGGCTTGGTTCACACCACCCTCCAAACACAACTCATGGAGCAGCTGGAATTAACCTTGTGCAGCTCTGCCCATACTGGCATGCCAGGAAATTAAAAGGGATTCAGTTGTGCTGGGCAGTCAATGTTGTCTGACTTTAACACAGTTTGAGCTATACCTCCAAACATCTCTGTAGATTTGTTCTGAAGTGACCTGCTTCTTACTTGTCAGAAAGCTTATATCTCAGCAGGGGTTTGAACTTGGATTTCCTGTCTCGCTGTATGAATTTCTTAATAATCAAATTACTTCTCTTTTTTACAGTGTGGAGGGCATGCAATGACATGACAGATTTAAAATGCTGTTGGATCATATATTTACAAATCTAACCTTACACATCTAGCACAAATATTCAGGCTTTTTATTCTGTGGTAAATTCCTACTTACTCCTTTGTCTTGTGAAGAATTATCTTGCAGCATGCTGAGGATGTTTGATTGCAATAATAAACTTGAGTTGTTTATTTGCTTTTAAGGAGAAATTTTGCCTTACCTTTTTTATTCTCCTTCTCAAAGGCTGACGAATTCTTCATTGAAGCAGTAACGCTGAAGCAGGTGAGGAGGGTGAGGATAGGGCATGATGGCAAAGGAGGAAGCAGTGGCTGGTACCTTGCCAAAGTGATAGTGAGGGAAGAAGGACAGCCAGAAAGTGAGGCTGTGGAATTCCCCTGCTACAGGTACTAGAAACAATGCTTGCAAATTAAGTCTCTGTCTCTACATTTGCCAGACTTTTAAGAGCCTAGCTGTTGGTCCATGACTGGAATTTTCTGAGCACAGCTTAATCCTTTTAATTTATTCATATGTTCATTTATTTTTTGCTAATCCTGAAAGCAAAGTGTGTTTTGGGAAGTTTAGAATACAGTTAACTCCCCTTACCAAATGACCAGCAATCTGGATTGTGAACTTCTCAGCAATTAGCTCAGTAATGCAGAGAATTTCCAAAAGACAAAATGCAACCTTCCATTACCACACCCAGTGTCGCTGCAATTGCCTGCTGCAGAAACACACTGTAATCTGTTGGTGTTACTGCATGTAACGAGGTTCTGGTCGCTCACATGCACATCCCATCTTTCTGGGAGAAATGGGATGCTGTTTTTCTGTTGGGAGCATGCAAAATTATTATCCTGCCATCTCAAGAGCTCCTTGCATGAGGGGAAACACACATCTTGCAGAGACAGTGTTAGGGCAAAGGGCTGTGCCTTGCCCCTCTGGGTAAGTTATTAGTGTAGTCTTCACATCCCTCGACAATCAAGTGGCCGAAAGAATGTGCTGTACTGAGGCTGCCTGTGGGGAACAAGATCCATGATCTGTCCTGGCACTAACAGGGGTCTGCCTCACCACTGCAGCACAAACTAGAGAGAACTGTGTGAAAACATTATAGATTAACCCCAGTGCAGTCCCACTTATCGTCTCAGGATGTCCACCCTTTAGGATGGACATCCAGAGAGCTCCATTTAACAACACCGTGTACCTGTTCTAAAAAATCATCTCCCAGGGACAAGTGGAATTATAAAACTCAAACACAATAATTTTAAAATTGAAGACAAAGGTAAAGCCCCTAAGCTGGTTCCCTGTCTCTTGAAAGCACTCCAATATAATGAGGGGAACCAAGTACAAAACAGGAGCCAGCCCCAGCCTCTTGCCATTAGTAAGCCCCATCATATCAGAGAGCAAATTCACTGTGGAGCTGCACGGAGCAGCAGACACAATGTCATCTTGGTTGTGAGAAGTAAGCCACTCTCTCCCTTCTCAGGGAACAAAAGACACATACACATTACCGCCTTTTGATCATATTTAACAACCATATGTTTTACTGAGTTAAGCAGGCAAGCTAGACAGGTTTTTCCTTGGACATGAAGTGTCCAGGCTGTTTTGCTCAGGCTCCTCAGAGATATTTCTGTGTCTAACTGCACACAACAGCTGACTCATTTTAGACAATTCCTTTTTGAATTGTCTCCTTATGTGACTGCTAAACTGGGTGTCTTCCATCAGCTCGGAGTGACTCCCTTCCTCTTCAGTTTTCACCTGTGGATGAGGAACACCAGTGGGCATTCCCCTCAGGCCAGGGAAGAGGAAAGGACAGAGAGAAAAACCCAAGACCTTATCCCCAAAAACATTAATGGTGTACCTTCAGGCTTCAGGTCACCAGTGATGGAATTCCACTCTTCTTATCTTTCTAAATGTCTCTTTTCTCAAGTGATATCAGAGTTGCTCTTGTGGCTTTATTTGCTGTCCTTGTGCCAGCATTATCTCTTTCCTCTCAGATTGAGAAGGTGACATGACTGATCGCCACCAAGCACAGGGACAGCTGCTCCCTCTCATTCCCTTTGGTGCCCATGTCTCCTGAGAGACTGAGGCACCATCGCAGTGTACGGGTGTCGTCATGGAGTCTGGAGAGATCTGAGGGCAAAGGTGCTCACCCACTGCATCCTCCAAGTGAGGGATAGACACTTCCATGGCCTGCAGCGTTTGGATGTTGCTCTCCACTCCTGTAGACCAAGGACAGCTTATGTCCTCACTGCTTTGGCAGGAGCTCAGAGTGTCCTGCTCCACCCACTTCTTCAGGGGCAAGAGGTTGAAAAAATATTTGTCCAGGAAGAGGCAATGCAAGTGAGGTTAGTTAGAGGCTCCATACAAGGATTAGACCAGAGAAGATTCTCTTTCTGCTTGTTGTTGTTTGTTGTTTGTTTAGACATGTTGCTCTCACTGTCTTTATCCCAAAGACTTGATGAACTTCCACTCTTCTACACAGCACGGTTACATGGTCTGAAGAAAACACCTTTGCTGCTGGGTTCATACCGAAAGCTACTCCACTGGCCTTGTGACATTCAGCTGCTCCTGTGAGACAGCTGAATGGGGGACAAAATGCCTTCCAGCAGAAAACATTTCACTTGTGCAAAAAGCTTCACAGGCTTCTTACCCCTGTGCAAACCAGGCTGCAAGACACATGGGGAGCAGACACTCTATCAGAAAGCTGCCTAACCAGCTTCCCTTCTAACTGATATCCTTAACATACCCTTATAGAACTTCATTGCATAGAACTTGTTGAAGTCTCTCTATTCTTCTTATTTACATATTTATATACAGTACAATGTTTTGCTTTTTAATTTGAAATCTTTTCTGTGACTAGATAGGATCATCTATCACTTAGCAATCACAAGAGCTCTGTAAGAAAAACTGTTTTTGTTGTACAGGGAGCCAGCAGAGATAAAGAGATGCTAAGTGGATTAATTGTGAGTTTATGTCAGATTCAGGACGAGCATCAAGAAATAATAACTCCCAGGCCTGTGCTTTCAACCCTTTAAACAGTTGGCTTAGAGTCAGTGATTTTTAAAGTGGTCATTTGATCAGTGCTTGCAAGAAGTAAATGCAGGTTACTTCCTCCAAGTGTTATTTGCAGAATTACTAGTAGATCACTTGGATGCAATACTATTCCTCCCTTATGACCACATGGCATTATAATAGCCATGCTTTTAGGAACTGAATACTGAATGATGCAGTGGCATCACCAGTGTATACCTTGTAATACCTGGTGTGGTTTAGGTACAGTGATGATGAATATTGCTGCAAAGCTCAAAACTAAGGGAGTTCAACTTTTGCCCCAGAAATGAAGCCAAACTTTTTTGAGGATCAGAACTGAGTTTTTTCTGGTGTCATTTTCTCCTCAAAGGTCTCTGGAAGTCCAGGAATGGACTAGCTGACATGCTCTAAACCATCCTATTTTTAATAATATTAATATCCCAGACAGAAATGAATTTTCAATCAAAGTTGTGAGTTCGTGATAGGACAGAATTTTGCATACTATAAATCATTACAACTCCACTGAAATCTTCAGTGATATGTCATTAAATTATTTTCCTAAGCATATGGCTCCCACCATCCTAATTTGTTTCTGGCACAAGCATAAGGGAACATTGTTAATTCTCTGAAGAACAACAGACCACAAATGGGATGATATACTAGGAGACTCCTGCAAAAGAACATTTATTCAATCAAATGCCAAAAAATGTTCATCATACAGAGGAGCCAGAGAAACCTCCTTTTCCTGCCTAAAAATAAACTGAGATGTCTATCTCTTTTTACACATTTTTGTATATAGGTTATATTTAAAGGCACACACAAATACATATGTGCCTCTGAATCTAATGGATGTGCCAATCCTTCTAATTGCAGTCAAGCTGAGTTTCAAATACTATATATGATGTCATATTGTATTTTTTCCAGTGATCACCTGAATCTTTGATCCTCTAGAAATTCTGAAGTGGCTTTCACGTAATATTTCTGTTCTCTTTGAGTTATACTGGCCATAAAGCATCTCTTTAAAACCAAGGATGTGACACAGGACACAGCTACACCCTTGTAAAATCCACAGTGGCATGTCAATTACACTCACTGAACTCATATAGAGCTATGATAAAATAAAAGATTTTTACATGCCTTTTGTACTAGGGATATGATGGCACTGCACTGAAATACTCTGTTTTCTGCAGCCAGATATGTCAATCCATTTGTGTTTGAGGTAGAACTCTAAATCCCTGGTTTCAATCTGCTGCTCAGTGATATGCTGTTGGAATTACACTGTAATGAAATTAGGATATTGGTGCATATGTAATGAAAGGAAGGGATGCAGGGCATTGCTCATCCAAATATTTCCTCTGTCACTAATCTCCAGAAAATAATGCTTCTGACACTCCTAGCTGTTCTCTTGGCTGAAACAGCACAAGGAGTTTTAAAGCCACTTCTGCTGATAAACCTACTTCTCCCTCCTTCAGTAACTTCCCTCTTCCTCTTCCAATCCAAGATATGCTCCTGCCCTTGCTATCAGTATCCACCAACACTGGTAGAGGGAATTTCTTTATCTCAGGGTGCGTTCTGCTTTTCTGATTTGCTTTTCTCCTCTGTCCTCACTGCTGAAGCAGTTAGCATTTACTGTGCTGCACACAGAGATCTGCTTCTCATGGGAGGTATTTTTATCCTGCCACCTCAGCACAGGGGAGATTCACTCAGATTTATCCCAGATACCCCTAAAGTGTCAGCAATGGCGAAGGTGACAGAAAACAGCAGCGTGTACACTTGCAACAGAAACAGCAGCTTGCAGGGCACAAGAAACAGAAGAAGGAGAGTAGAAGTGTATCTACCTTGTGAGCTTCTGCCTTCCTGAGGGCCACGCTGAGTTCAGTGGTCCTGAGGTGGTGGCTTGAATTTTGTGGGTCCCCCCAGTTAACATCCATGTACACAAAAGCTTCTTGACTTTTGGGATGATGTGATACCCTAGCCATTGGATGCCTGTCCAAGGATGTGAGTCCTGAGCCAGCATCAAGAGCTACATAAAACAAAGGTATTAAGGACCAGTTTTAACAGGTAAAATAACCCCAGCCCACCCCAGCCCCAAAATATCAATAAAGGCTTCCTTTCTTAAGGAAATGTGATGTCCTAGCATGTTCTTATTGCATGTATTGCTCAATTCTTGTCATCAGTTTCATGGTCTTCCCCACAGATTTTTCTGCTACTCTATTCCACTACAACTCTTTGCCTCCCCTGAGGCACAACAACACATCAGATGCCCTTACATGGTGCTTGTGTGATCATCACATGTTCATGCTGATCACCTAAGCTTTTAGCCCTGTCTAAGCCCACCTGCACAAGGCCGCCCTCTTCACTGAGAGAAAGCGAAGAATTCAGGTAGAATGCATACCCAACAACCTCCCAAAGCTTAGAGGGAAGCTGAGGCTGGAGATGTGTGTCTGTGTGGTGGAACTCCTGTGCACCCCTTTTGCATGAGAACACTGCTGCTCGTGCTCCCAGGACTGGCTGGCTCTAGCTCATGTTTGGATTTCTTTCCTGGTGCTGTTTTTTTGCATGGTTTCTTTGTACTTATTTTCTCTGTGTGAGAGGAGAGGGGAGAAGATTGAAAATGTAATACTCCTTCAGATGGATGAAGTGGACACATACCATCCTTGGTCTTCCAAAATATCTGATCTAACTTGTGGTGACTTTGAGCTGTGCTGGCTTTTTATCAGCGAGGTGCCTTAGGTTTGATCCAGCTCTCAGCAGATCTCTGCTCATACCCCCAAGTCCTGGTTCTTAGGGTTGTTTTCTGGTTTTCATACATGCTGACTCACTGTCAAAGTCAAAGAGGGAAACCTCCATGGGAGGTGAGCTCCCCTCCTTTTTGGCACATGGGTCAGCCAAGGACAGTGTGTGTGTCACAGTGGCACCATGGGAAGTTCACAGGGTACATGTTCACGGGCTGCAGGTGTTTGTGCAGAAGCAGCTGTGCTCCAGCATGGCCACCTTTAAAAAGAAACAGTTTCTGGTGATTTGTTTTCACTCCTTCTGGTTCTGGAGCCATTAAAATACTCTGCATGACCTGGCAGATAGTGGTCATTTGTCCTTTTCTCACCCCTGCTGGTTTGAAACAGTATTTTTAGCTGCAAAAGGCACTGCTGCAGATAGATGTGTACCTGGGAACAATGAGCATTCTGGGAACTTCTCTTGGTCTCACAGCACCACCGTGGGAAACCTGACCCTAAACAGATGCTTACAGAAATATACTGAGTGCTGCAGCAGCCTGGGTGGGGAGGGGAAAGTGAGAAACCTCTGCCAGGGCCCTGGCTGCTGTCATGCAATGGTTGCTGTAGGGCAAATGGTGGGGTTGAGGCTGTAAATTCTTCACTCTGAGGCTGAAGGAGCAGCTGTGAAGGATGCCAGGCTAGCAGTTAGCTCACCTCTCTTTTGGGAGGCGGCTTTTGATGGGGGACTGAAGAGGAAACATTTGGAAAAGGCATGTAGTGGTACTATAAGGCAGAAATTATCTTAAGATGAAGGAGGGCAGAGAAATTACATATTAAGAAGAAATTCTTTACTATCAGGGTGGTAAGGCCCTGACACAGGTTGCCCAGAGAAACTGTGGCTGTCCCATCCCTGGAAGTGTTCAAAGTCAGGTTGGATGGGGCTTGGAGCAACCTGGGGTAGGGGAAGGTCCCTGCCCATGGCAGGCAGTTGGAACCATTCTCTGATTCTATGATTTTCCTTTCAGATTTTGTTTCTTTGAGATCATGCTACAGTTTGCTCGGTGCCCAGCTCCTCTACTCAATTAGTCTAGTTGGATCTTTAGTGTTGAGAAACATTACAAATCCTTCCTCTTTGCTGGTGCCAGCTGCCTGCACATACCCAGCCTGAAAATGGGAATAACATAATTCCTCCCCTCCCTTTAGTATTAGAAGTTGCAAGTCTTTCTGGTCAACGAAAGTCAATACTTTCAAGACACTAAGACTGCCTGTTCACAGGAATAACTTGTGGTTGTGGAGTTTGTTCTTTTCAGACAGATGGACATCACAGCAGATGCTTATCTACTGCGAGCAGAGCTCTCATGTACCCTCTACTTGGAAGACTGGAGTTTTAAAATGTGGCTGCCTTATGGTCTGGTTAAGTCCCTGCTAAGATAACAGAGATACAGAGCCCTCTAAAAATATCTTTTTGACTGTAGTGTGGATATGGACTATGTGTGAAGCCAGCATAGAATTTGAAAGTTCTAACAGGTGCTAATTATTCAAAGATAACTTACTTCTGTTTGTAAACCAGATGGCTTGACAAAAATGAGGACGATGGTCAGATTGTCCGAGAATTAGTGCCTGCTGGAGAGTCACCATTGCTAAAAAGTGAGTTTAGGCTAGAAAAAAGGTCTGGGTTTGAACTGTACATGGATGTGTTTATTTGCTTTATTCTTCTTACTAACTCCCAGTAATCCTACTGGGCATTTTTTGCCATTCTTATGCAAGAAGCTGCAGTAGGTCATGCTGAGAGAAATGCCTCTGAGTTTTAAATTCTAGTTTATGAATTGGAAAAGAACATAACCGCATCATTATGTATGTAGAAAGAAACATTGATTTTTAAATTGTGATTTTTTTGAGAACTGCTTCCTTGTATATCTTTCTCTGAAGGATCTTGAATTGCCCCTGTGTTAGTAGAGTAAATGCCGTCAAATAACGGCATTCTCTGAAGAAAATCACCAAAAATATTATATTGGCCTTTTCTGGAGAGCCAGGCTTCCAATGCTACAATTTTCTTTAGAAAATGGTGCTTGCACAGTGCAGGTTTTTTTTTTAAAAAAAAAAAAAAAAAAAAAAAAGGTCAAATTTATTGAATTAAATTTTAAGTATAAAAATGGTGAAATAATCCCATTTGCCTAAGGCCATTTTTATGCCTTGGGTAATCATCTAACAGTGAGAGGGAGGCATACAGAATATTTTATGCTTACTAGTGTAGCTATTAGATCTCTTATTTTTTTATTAATAACTCCAAGTTGTGAAAGCTTCTCCAGCATGGCCCTAAGATGCTGGATGCATGAATGGAGGGCAGAGTCCTTTTTGTGTCTGTATCTGGAGCCTTCCACCTCTGTAAGTTGATTGAAGCCAATTGCCTGGCTGGGCACTGGAAGTGCCACTCATGTGTCTGTGTTTTGTGCATCGATCTTTCTCCAGATGTCAGTTATCACATCAGTGTGAAGACAGGAGATATCCCCGGTGCCAGCTCAGATTCCAAGGTTTTCATCAAACTCTATGGTGAAAAAGCAGACTCCAGCAAAGAGTTTCTCTTAGTCTCTGATAATGATCTAGGCAATTATTTTGAACGTGGCCGAGTGGATGAGTTTACTCTAGATATGATGGATATTGGAAAGGTAAGAATCAATCACAGGTGGCTCTATATGTTGTGCAAGTGCATTCAGGATCAAAATAGCACTCCATATTGAAGGTGATGAAAGAACCTTTGACATTCACATTGGATATTAAGAGACACATTTTACATAGATTTTATACTAGTAATCTATTCTGCATGCTGGCATATGAGGAGGGTTTCAAGTCTATAGTTAAATACATATATAAATTATTTACATGAACATGATGGAAGAACACTGTGTCAGGGTAAGAAGACTGTTTTACATTAAACAAATTCTGTTGTGTTGGGTTTTTCCCTGCCCTCTGGACTTTTGTTTGCTTTTTCCAAAGATCAACAGAATACTGATTGGGCATGATAATGTGGGTCTGCGGTCCGGCTGGTTCCTGGCCAGTGTCCAAATCACAGTTCCAGTCCAGGGAAGGCAGTACATGTTCCCCTGCAACCGATGGCTTGACAAGGATGAGGCTGATGGCAGGGTGGAGGTGGAGGTCTACCCAAGTGAGATTTTGCCTATTGAGAAATGTAAGAGACCATGTGCTGCTTTAAAGATAGGCCTAAATATGTATTGCTCCCTTTCTTCAGGGCAAGGTCACCACAGTCTTAGACACCAAAACCATAAAGTCACTATTCCTATGAGCTTATATTGGTGAGAAAATTAAAATATTCTTCTAATGTTCTCTGAAAGAGTTGGAAAAACATTACAGAGATTTTCATCTCCATTTCCTGAGACCATATGAAAAATTTACATCCTGGGTAGCACAGCACAGCACAAGATAATGTGCTTCTTTACTGTAATATCAGTGAGTTCTTATTTTTCTACATTTATCTACCCCAGCCCTTTTTTCTCTTTATGCACCAGCACATGTCTCATCCTGTCTTTATTACCCTGCTTCCTGGAAAGGAGAAGTTGTTTGATAAATAAGTGCCAAATCCCTACTGGCCACTTGACTTTTATCAGTAGATCCATTTTCTTTTAAGGATACAGTTAAAATTTGCTGTTGGATCCTGAGAAAGAATGCTGTGTTTTTTCCCTGCTCTCTGTAACTCCCTCCCTGGCACTGTAGTGAGATAATTCAAGCACTCTATAGGTAGTACTGAAACAAAATTCCCTTTTAAGGCTCTGTTTTGCACCCTCTGTCACTGGCTAATACTTGTAAAAGGAAAACCATTAGGTTAGTCCTCAGTGAAGGGTTCTATTATCTCACATTTAGTTTGGATAAGAGCAAATGGTTGGCTGTGGGGACATTTGTTAAGACAAGGTAATTTAATTTTGAACCTGAGACCCCAGGAATGTTGTTATCTGAGTTTTGTTGCTGATTTAATTGCTTTATTTTTGGACCAGTGATAAACTATGAGGTGTCTGTAGTTACTGGAGACGTGCGAGCCGCAGGCACCAACGCCAAAGTCTTCATGCAGATTTATGGTGAGACTGGCAAAACAGAATTGATCATCTTAGAAAACAGATCCAACAACTTTGAAAGGGGAGCCACAGATATCTTCAAGGTATGATGAAGGCAATCACTGCCACTTCTAAGAGAGGAAAGAAATGATCAGCCAAAGTTGAGACATCAATAGAGTAACTGGCCCAAGTATATGGAAAAAAAATAAGACTTTTCAAGAAAATTGAAGGTCTGGCAGTATCTACTGTCCTCTATCCATAGTTTTGGAAGGCTTTCTATTTCTTTATGGGGTTTTGTGGAGGGACTTATATCTTCTCAGGGGCTACTAACAAAGGTGTCATTGGAATTTATGATCTAATAGCAGTATTTGTCTATATTTACTTTCAAAAGGATCTCAAAAGACTTTAAAAGGTTCTCAAAAGACTTTAAACTTTGGACCTGACCACATGTTATTGCCAATTCTGGAGGAAAAAGAAAACACCTTTGTATGAGAATATAAGGAATCCCAGGTTTGCATGTGGTCCCACACACTATTAACTATGGGTATAGATATCAGCCGCAGAGGTTTGCAGCTGTAATTCCTGAGAATGTGTGAATGCCCCATAGACACAGTGCCTGTAGCACTCTTCCAGCAGGCACTGCACAGCCCTGGTGCTCAATGTGCACAGCTCAGTCTTCCAGGTATCAGGATGGTCAGAATCAAGATTTATACTGCAGAACCCAAACCTTTTTCTGAGCAGCCCAGAAGCAAAGGGAGTGTTTAGAGGGGTGAGGAACTTCCAACATAACTCTAAGCAGTAAGCCAGGACTTGGATAATCCAACAAGATGTCCTAGGCTAATGAGGCTGCCCAGCAAGTGTGGATCACAACGTAATCAGGCATCCTCTCCCTTTGGGACCAGTGTTCTCTTTTGCCTTGTGAACTTGTGGTTTCTGCCCAGAGAAACCATGGTTTGAGGGCCAGGAATGGACTTAGCACTTGCCCTGATGTGGGATCAGAGCAAAGACAGGTTGTTCTGTCAGAGCTACATCCTTCTGTACTGAAGGAGAGACCAACATCTGGACAGTGAGGCAAAGAGTCCAGGTGGAAGCAGGATTTAAGGCACATCTGTCACATGTGCTCACAGCACAAGACTTGCCACAACAGTGCCTAAGTCTTCTTGTGAATTTGCAGTCCCACAGAAGTGGCTTTATCTCAGCACATTTAAGCTTGGAGCCAATTGCTGAAGCTCCCATGAGTCATCAAGACTGGCATATCCTTCCTGCTGTCAGTGGCCAAATGGAAGTGCCTTTATCCACAGCTTCACCAGTTTTGTACTGTGTGTTTTTGAGATCAGTTCACCTCCTCCTGCCTCATTTTCTTGCTTTAGTGAATGGAGTTACTGATGTTTATCTATTTTAATGAGTTTTTGGGGATTTGAAATGACTAGTACCTTATAAATGTTTGCTTTTTAAAAACTCTCTATAATTTTAAGTTTCTCAGATTTAAAGGAAATAAGATTTATAAAATTTATGAGTAAGACCTATTAGACAATATCAGATTTATAATAAAGCCATATGTACAATTTCTGTTTACATAGCTTTGCTTATATCCTCTCTCTGATATTTATTGCCATATTTGAAAATTATGCCTACTTCTGTGATTTTTTTTTACAAGCACATGAGGCAGAAGCTCTGGAGATTATTAAATAGATAGTCTGTCTCTTTCACTATATGAATGTTTACAAAAAGACCCAGGCAAAAATAAGATTCTGTGAGCTATGTGATAATAGGAAATGCCATCAGTCACGGACAAGTCATGCAGGATGATTACATTTAATCTAAGGGTAAAGCCCTGTAAGGAAAGATATATTCTTTATGTCAGGACAGCAGGATCAATTTCACTTTTCTGATAGGCATCTTGTGTGCAATTGATTTTGTTTTAGTCTACAAAATGCTTCTAGACTAAAACCTAACATGCCAAGTGCCAGATTTCAGCCTGAAGCAAATGTTTGCAAGTTTTATAACAGAAACACCACATAACAGCATAAGCAATCATCAGAAACAAGTCACGGGTTGTTGAGGGATTGTGTGAAGTAAAATCTTCTATCCAACTTCATTAGGTAGTAATCCAAACAGATAATCTAAACCAAGAAGGTTTTGTATCTGCTGCACTGACTAGAGGAATGTAGATCTTCTTACTGATCAGCCTTCTGCCACTGAAGCACTGTAACCACCAATGATTGTATCCTCTCTGCTTGCCAGAATAGTGAGAAAATACTTCGCTAATTTTCCAGATGAGAAGGAGGGAGAAGGGCACTCCAAACCCACGGTCTGTGTCAGAGATCATGTTATATGAGTTAACTGCCTTTTCAATACACCATTATTGCTTCTTGCTGGGTTCATATCCTGTGCTGAGTATGAAAGGCATTTTATTATTAATTTTCAAAATGCCTCATGCACTGAGAATCTGTAAAAACTTGGTATGGTATTATCGTATATTCATCTTTAGTGACAACATAGAGACAATACAGGTAAGGAGAGAAATGAGGAAATAGGGAGCACAGTAAGTACGAATTTAGCTCCTTTCCTCACCATGGCTACTCTGAATATCTTCAGCTTAATCCATTCAGATGAGATTTGCTAATGGAAAGTATGAAATAGTAAAGCAGGAAGGAAAATGTAAACTTGCATTAAGAAATTCTTCTTATCCTTGCTTAAATATTTTGTGTGATAGAGGCTGTGCTTCTTATTTTTAAGAATGCACTTTATGAAATTAAGATTGTGTTCTATCCCTCTGGGTGCTGACTTTGCATTGGTGGCAGAGAGAGGCTGCAGATGTTGGCAAGATTTATAAGATTCGGATAGGCCATGATGGGACAGGCATTGGGGATGGCTGGTTCCTGGAAAGCATCACACTGAAGCGCCTGGCTACAAAAACAGAGGGGTCTGATAAAAAGAAGAAGAAGAAAAAGAAGTCTGATGAGGAGGAAGAGGAGGAGACCAAGGAGGAAGAAGGAATGGATGTCTATACGTTTGTGGCACACCGCTGGCTGGCTAAGGACGAAGGGGATAAGGAGCTCGTGGTGGAGCTGGTGCCTGACGGAGAATCTGACTTGGAGGGTAAATACCGCAGGGAATGTGTGTGTGTGTGTGTGTGTGTGTGTGTGTGTGTGTGTGTGTGTGTCTGTGTGTGTGGAACCAGCCTCTGCATGAAGGATGATAACCACACTTGGCAGGACCATGCATCCCCCACAACCACCCCGTTGCCCCAGTCATGCACTGGATCTGTGGTGGGTCAAGCTAGGGAGGAAGAGGATGGTTGGTAAACTAAGGCAGAGAACACAGGGGACAGCCTGAAATTGGAATATCCTAAAGGACTTCTATGGGATTCATCAAAGGTCATCTGGGGCACTTGGATCAAGAGTCCCAGAAGATGCCACTGTGGCTGAGAGTTTAGCAAGATGTAAATGTTATTATGGCCAAGGAGAGGGGCTGGAGGAAGACAGAGTTGCTCATGTTTTAATATAGATGCCACTAAACTCCAAGCAAACTCTTTCTGTGCTGGCATTTCAGGGGTTACACTTTTTTGTGGTGAGCCACATATTTGATGAAATATGGCCATTTCTGGGGTCCCTCTGACCTGCCTTTGCAATTTTACTTGCAGAAAATACATATGAAGTCCATGTCCTCACTGGGACTGTGTGGGGGGCTGGGACAGATGCTAATGTCTTCCTGAGCATCTATGGCATGGAAAGAGGAGACACGGGTGAGCGCCAGCTGAAAAGGTCAAATAATCTCAACAAGTTTGAGAAAGGACAGGTAATGCATGAACTCCGCTCACTCAAGAGAGACGGAGGCTGGCAGAGTTCTCTTGCTTGACATGCTGGCCATCCAATACAATTTCTTCTCACTTCTCTCAAACGTATTTTATTTCTGAAATATATAAAGCAAAATACCTCAAAACATTTTCCAGGGGAAATTAATTTGAATAATAACCTGAATACCAATTCTATGTTGGAGCCACTTTCTGTGTCTGCTTTGTGTAAGTGTTCTTGTAATAATGCTTCCTTTCAGGAACATTTAAAACTTACAAACTTTAAATTAATATTGGAGAGTATTTTTGGGGAAGTTCAAGAATGTAGATATTTAGATGCAAAAACTATTCTAAATGTTCTATTCAACCAGCCAGGGAATAAAAGCAATATTACAGAGTGTGCTGTAATTACGTTATAATCCAATCCAATTAAAGATCATCTCTTGTATGTTGAGTATTTGCTATAAAAAGTTTATAAACAATTAACAAAAATCTACTGTTATAGCCAGGAGTTTTTCAAGGAATAATTCTGAAGAACAAAAAAATTATAGAAACAAAAAGCAGCTGTGGAAAACTTACAATCAAAAAAAAAAAAAAAAAAAAAGGCAAACAAAGGATTATGATCACCAGGGCTGGGTGGAGCTAAGAACAAATCCCAAATCAAAAAAAAAAAAAAAAAAAGCCCTCAGCCCTCAGGTTGTTAAATAAGTTGTTAGGTTGTTAGCTATGATTTATGAGCTTGGCACTGGTGAAATTGCAACCTGCACATGGTTCTTCATTCAGTGGGAAGAGCGCCAAGCTGCAAATGTAATGCTCCTTACTCTTGGGAGTACAAACCCAAAGTCTACCAACATATTAATCGCATTAAGATGTTTAAATTGTTATGATAACAAAGACCATCCTGTCACACGAACACAGTTAATAAATGATCCTCTTGGTTGTGGTAAATGACAAAAGGAAAAAATTCTGAAATATTTGAAATAAAGCATATGGGCTATATTTTGAGGCTGTCTTGTGCAGAGCCAGGAGTTGGACCCAGTGATCCTTGTGAATCACTTCCAACTCTGGATATTCTAAGATTCTACACAGACGTGTGCAGGAGAATTTCCATGGAGTCAACAAGTTTTTTGTCTGGTTCCAGATTCAATCTGTGGGAAAATACTAAGCCTGAAAGGAATGATATTTAGCAGAGAGGATTTAAACTTAAGCTAAAACTGGGATGAGGTAAAGAAAGGAGTGAAGAGGGGAGCAGCTCTAGGGCTGTTACTGCCTTGTAGGAGCCAAACATGAGTGTTAATGGGAGATCTCAGAGCTCTGTGGTTATTTTTGCACCCACACAAAGAGTACAAAGAGAACTTACAAATAACTATGTTTTAATGGTGAAAAAGGTTACCCTTGGCCATTTACTGCCTTTCCTTCTTTCTTGGAAACACAGCCATTTGCCTTTTGCCTCCTGTGCAGGTAGACGTGTTCACCATCAAAGCCATTGACCTGGGTGAGCTGAAGAAGCTGCGGATCCGCCACGATAACTCTGGTGCTAGCCCCAGCTGGTTCCTGGAGAGGGTAGAGATTATTGACCTCAAAGAGAGCACCACGTGAGGAGCCTGTTGTGCCCTTTTCACGTGGTCAGGAAAGGGGCCATGTTCTCGGGAGCCTGCAGAGCCATGGGGAGGCAGAGAAGTTGCAGGAGGGGATTGTTGCAGCTCCTCACCAGCTTGCAGGGAATGGCCATCCTTTGGGAGCCTTGTGGTCACTGTGCCATGATACAAAGCGTGGGTCCCTCGTGATGTATGGGGGTTGCTGTCCCAGCACCTCTGTAATTTGGGAACCAGCAGTGTTTGGAAGGCAGCCTCAGGTTTTTTTCTCTTTCTCCAGGGATGGGTTCATCTCTCCCTCCTGGAGCAGAAGCTGCACTCAAGCATTTCGTTTCCCTCACTTTGGAAGTCTCTGAGCTCATGTTTTATTTGCCCTTTCTACTTAATGCAAAGATCTGGGCCAAAAGCAAATTCTGATCTGAGCAAACTCTCATGATTTCCACAGACAGCTGGATGAGCAAAGAATGGGCTGTTCAAAAACTGAAATACAGGCTTGCCTTTGAGCTGGAACTTGATGGAAATCACATGCTTAAAAGTAGCACAATGCTCTGATGGGTGGGGCCACTCTTAAGGATAAAATGTGTTCAGTCTTCGTAAACAAAATGCCTGAGAGAGTGGAAGTTCTTGAAGTTACTGAGCTCTTTCTGGGAGTGAAATTGAAATGAATCAACCATGTGGGGCTGGCAGCCCACCAACAGTACTTAGCAGTATGTGCTCCCTAACCTATTTCTGAATTTAGCTCCCGCAACACCAGATCTCAAGAATGAAAACAGATGTACTGATCAGCTTTGAGTAATCTTGTTGGTTTTTTTGTTTCTTTTTCTTCAAGTAGCCTCTGATCTGTGCTTGTTTATGTTATTAAAGCCTGTGAAGTCCTGTGCAAGCGCCGGGTGCTTCTGTCATTTTGTAGGTATTACTTTCCATGCCAGCGGTGGTTGGCAGTCGAAGAAGATGATGGTCAGATTGCCAGGGAGCTGGTCCCAGTGGATGAAGCATTTGTAAAGAAAGATTCAGAAAATGATAGCCAGTCTCCTGCAACTTTGGGTCTGGAGCAGAAAGGTATGTATATGCTGGCCTTGAATTTCTTGCAGTGGGGGTTGGAAAGGAACCAGATTGTTAGTGCTGTTGAGGGCATTAGCAGTCAGCAGTAGCAGTTATTCACTGTGCAGTAATTTTACCCCAAAATGAAATTTTCAGTTGTGAATGAAGTGTCAAGTGTGTGTTAGACTGTGAGAAGTGGACGTTCCTCATTTTTAGTGGATTTAATCATCTTGCACTGAAATGCATATTGGTTGCTAATATATAAGGAATAAATCTCATTCATTTCACACCATGGACAGTAATGGTTAAATGTTCCAACATGAAACTGAGCAGAAAGAAAACACACCCAGAGAAGGAGAAGGGACTTAAATTAGTTTCACTTTCCATCTTGCTGCTTGTGTCTATTGTCCTCCAAAATAATTTTGCCTCACTTGTAAATAAATTTGCATGGTAGCCACGGAGTAGTGACACACTTCCGGGTTACTGGGACCCAGGTGCTGAGTGCCCAACATTTTCAGCGGTTTCTTTTGGAAAGATATGTCTAACTAGGGAGTAAATATTCATTTTTGAAATCTTGAGGTTATAGCAGCTCCGTGAAGACCATGTTAGACTTTTCCATGAGATTTTTTAATGAGTTTACTGCACTTTCTAGATGACAGTGCAGTAGAAACATCCCTTCTGATGTCGTTCTGAAAGGTGTGCTTATGATAATGAACGGTATATGTCAGTGTATACACTTTCTGGTATGTGTTATATGCACGTGTATTATTTGATGCCAATTAAATAAAGGGGTGGGGCGGTATGTGGATTTTTAAAATGAAATGCTGCAGTCAGAGGCAGCTTTCAGAAGGGTTAGAGATTCCCAGGAAGCAAATGGGAAGGTTTGAGCACATTTCTTATCTGTAGATATGCAAGCAATGTGCTGAGTGACTGGAGCAGTGGAAGATTCTGCAACCAGATAACCCAGTTCACCTCAGGAGCTACCAGAGCATAGGATAGGCTTTAGAGATTGCATCATGGCTGTGATCAGTCAAAACAAAACTCAAACCAAGCACACATTTATGCCAGGAAGAGTAGAGTTAACCTCTGGTCAGATGTCACACTCTTAAATTAAGATACTTTATCTGGCAGCTAAATCAACAACATACACAGTGAAAGTGAAAACGGGGGACAAGAAGAATGCTGGGACAGATGCCAACGTTTTCATCATACTCTATGGAAGTAAAGATGATACAGGTATGACTTCAAATGATGGAAAAGGAAAGCAACTCCCTGTTTGACATCTGAAAACACAGGACATGGTTTCTTGTAATTTCCCCAATACCCATTTCTCACTTTTTTTAGTGCGACTTCATGTTCCCGCAGTTGGTGCACACATCATGGTAACTTGGAGCATGGCACCAGCTGCTGTAAATCATTGCCAAGCTTTGCGATGGTGATTTGTACCAGCTGCTGGTCTAAAGGTTTTAATTTCAATTATAGAAACAGCACAGTTGACTGGGACTACATTATTGAGCAGTGAATGCACTGGATGATTTGCTTTCCTCAGCAATGAATCAGCATGCTCCTGAAACCCAGCTCTCCTCTGCCTCTTTGAGTGGCCCAGAAGTATTTAATCAGCTGATGAGCAAATCCTCTTGGAAGCAGCTGAGCTATGTGTGCAGTGGCTGGGACGCCTGTGAGAGTGACAGGGAACTGATGGGTAGCACTGATTTCTTTAGCTGCAAGCATAGCATGACAACATCTTCCCTGTTGCACTGCCAGGGGATCATTCAAGGGAGGAATTCTGTATATTTTGAGTGTTGATACCAACTTGGGCTCAGAGGGAGGGACAAAGCTCAGATCTTGAGATGAAAAGCCAGTTTTTGCATTTTAGCCACTTCCCTCATTCCACTGTTGACATTCCCAGAGGATTTGTTTCACATGCTGAAAAATGTCCTTTTGCATCGCCACAACAGGGATAGTCAGCCTAAAGGCCTCAAAGATTAACAAGAACAAATTTGAGCGTGGGAAGGTAGATGAGTTTACAGTGGAGTCTGTGGACATTGGAGACTTGAAAAAAATCAAGATAGGCCATGACAATAAAGGTAAGATAATCTGCTCTGTAATGCAGTGTTTCTAGTGCATTGGGTGTGTTGCTGTATAAAATAATCTGCCTCCAGTACCTCAAACGTAATTTAGCTTTTGGTGACAGATCCTTGCTGTCACTTTGGCTGCTGCTGCTACTATCTATGCTGCTGGTTGCATTCCCATGTGACATTAGGAGCTCAGTGGTGCCAACTTGCTTTGCATCCTCTCCCTCTGCAAGAGTCCTTATGGTTCTACAGCCACATCTTTAGCGAGATTTCACAGGTACCACCAAACCCTATATTTGTTTTTATTGCATGTGACCCATAGACTTGTTTCACTTCTTCATTGAGTTTTTTGTGGTATTTTGATCATCAAGTCTTGGCTGATTTTTAGACAGAATTCTGTGTATCTGCTACAAAAAAGGGAGGCAGTGGAGCTATGAATGGATCTCTTCCCCTATGGGTCATTAAGTGAGGAGTTTGTTGATAACTGCTCTGTATTATTACAGAGGCCAATTGAAAATGATGTAGTAATTAGCATTTCCATGTGCACATCTTTAGCCTGACACTTACAGAAATGTGAAGCATTTTACCTCAATCCTGGGGAACTGCATCCAATGCTCTTTACGCCATATATTCTACATTACCTTTGGCAAAAGACAGAAAGATTTTTCTCAGAGGTCTGGCATGAAATGATTCATTTGCTGTTGTCTGCAAAAGCTTTGTGGCTTATTCACTGTTATCTTTCCACCACAGGTAATTCAACTGGCTGGTTTCTGGAATGGGTGGAGATTGATGCCCCATCCGTGGGACAGTGTCTCAAGTTTCCTTGCGGCCGCTGGCTGGATAAATCGGAGGATGATGGAGCTGTTGAGAGAATTATATTCCCTGCAGAACTGCAGACAATAGAGTACATCCCATGTGAGCAGAATGCCATTTCCCCAGGATACACCCATCATTACAGAAGATAAAATCTTACTATCTCATGCAGTTTTATAGGTTTCACCTCTCCCTTGAACTGGCTTTGGGAAATTTAAAAGTAGATCACATGCCAAGTATTCAAATTACTACAAGAAAGTTCCACTGAGTGCTCTAGATTAACATTTACTGCATTTGCCAAATCAGAGAATCATTAGGAGTCATGTGGATGTGGATGATTGTCTTTTTCTTTCTATTTCCCCATCCCCTCCAAGTCCTCTGCTCATTTCAAGCTGTCTTTCTTGTCTCCAGTTTACCTTTGATCTTGCTGCATTCCAATATTACCATTTCTGGTACCAAAGCAGACACTCTGGACTCACTTCCAAGTCTTAGTTTTTCCAGTGCCTTTGGTTTTGCACACTCTTTCTAAAAGACCTCCTCCCAGAGTTTCCAGTGTGGTGTTTTTCTAGAAGTGTTGTACCAGTCTGCCTCTTTTGGTGTCCTCCAATTTTTCCTTACTCTTCACTCCTCTCCAAATGAATGTTTTGGGTAAACATTCCCCCTACTCAGCTCCTTCTGAGTACTAGCTCAAGTCTGTTATGGCAACTCAAAAGTCTTTCATTCTAGAAACTTCTTTTCCTGTTTGCAGAATACTGAGGATCAGATACTAAGGTTTTGTTGAAATAAATGAAATATTTTGCTTACTTTTTAACTCTCTCCCTTCTCATGCTCCCCTTTCTTAAGGATCTTTGACAGTGTGCAGAGTAGGGCCCTGGCACTGTATTTGACTTGTCCCTCTCTGATCTGCTTCATTTCAAGTGGTTGATGAATTTTGCTCACTGTTAGGGCACTGTCAGAACTGCCTTTTCCTTACATTGGGTTAGATACCACAATGATGAGGGATGAGGTCTGACACCTGGGAGTTGATTTTCTGACAGTTTCCTCCTTGGCCATTCATAAGAAGCGCTAAAAAATTTCACACTGAGGCTGTCTCATCTCCCATCCCCAGTGTGTACACTGAAGGTATCAAAAGCCTTATTGCCTGCAGTTCTTTATTTAGATATCGAAATTTAGAGCTGCCCAAACTCTATTTATTTGCCTCAGTTTCCTTCTTCGCAAGTAGTTGTGAGAATAACCACATGGAAGGCCATCAGCTGTTTTGCCTCCTTTTTTATTCTGAAGACAGAGGTTCATATTGAAGGTCCCTCCCACGTTCAGCTCCCTGTACCCTGCAGTCTGTAAGCTGAAATAATTTCTTCTCTGAGGATCTGCCATTGTCATGTCTTTGTGCTTCACCCATTCTTTGACTAAGGTATTTTTATTTCTCACATCTAACCTTCTGTATCCAAGCTTTGGAGGGCAAAAGAAAGGATTCTCTTTGCTCACTTCTGCACTTTTGTCAGTCCAATGGAAGGAAAAGTAGATTCACTTTTCCTGAAAGAACTGAAAGGGACCTTAAACCTCATACAGTGCCACCCCCTGCCATGTGCAGGGGCACCTCCCTCTATCCCAGGGTGTCCAAAGCCCCATCCAGCCTGGCCTTGGACACTGCCAGGGATCCAGGGCAGGGACATCCACAGCTGCTCTGGGCACCCTGTGCCAGGGCCTGCCCACCCTCCCAGCCAGCAATTCCTTCCCAATATTCCATCTGTCCCTGCCCTCTGGCAGTGGAAGCCATTCCCTGTGTCCTGTCCCTCCCTGCCTTGTCCCCAGTCCCTCTGCAGCTCTCCTGGAGCCCCTTGAGGCCCTGGCAGGGGCTCTGAGCTCTCCCTGGAGCCTTCTCCTGTGCAGGTGAACAGCCCCAGCTCTGCCAGGCTGGCTCCAGAGCAGAAGGTCTTGGAGCATCTCCATGGTCTCCTCTGGACTGTCTCTAGCAGCTCCATGTCCCCTTTAAGCTGAGGATCCCAGAGTTGAATGCCGTATTCCATGTCTTTCTGTGTCTGAAAAAATAAATTGATTACTAGTTGCAGTGATACCTTTTATAGGACTGAATATAACCCAGAGACTCAACACATGCTTCTGGTCTGTTTTTTCCATGTTATCCCAATCAATATATATTTTGATGCAGATGTTGACTATATCATTTATTAATACTCCTGAATTTTTTAATGATGTAGGAGCTTCTGGCATGCTCTGCCTTTTAGCACATAGTTCATGTTATACTGATTTCTGTCAGCAGTCCACATCCAGCCTTTGGAAATAGTCAGGTCTCTCTGGCAAATGTTTTGCACCAGGCCTGCTGTCAGCTTAGGCTTTTTCACCATTTGAACCCTCCCCACTGTGCTGTTTACGACATTCCAGTTTCCTAGCAATTAACCTGTGAGTTCCAGTTTGCCAGAGGTAACTAAACTGGCTTGATTTGTTTTATGATGACTCGTGCCAGAATTGTTTCACTATGAAAACATGTCATCTACAGTCCAATTAAAATCATCCCTGTGGGGATACAGCTTTAAAAGTGCCATGTAAATGAAATGGGCATCTGACAGCTGAAAGTTGTGCTGTTGGTGACCTTGTTAGGGTGCTGCTTTGCTGATTCAGTTCTAAGCTGATGTTAATATTCAAGCAACAAGAGCAAGTGCTACAGCCTTCAGCAAGAGAGGATAATTTTTAATTCATAATGCATAGTGTGTGATTTTTGGTATGCAGGATTTTCCCTCCACCTCCCCCCCCTCCACCTTCTTAGATTCTAGAGAAACTATTCTAGTTTACTTGCAGCACAGCAGAGCAGATTTCACTGGGTTGGGCAGGAAGAATATTGAGTATCTCCAGACCGACTTTCTGTAGAAGAAAACTTCTTTATCTGTGACCTCCTGAGAGCTGTATTTAGAGAGCCTAAGCTTTTTATGAATTATTAGTCTCTTATATGGGTAATCAGAGTTACTCCAACAGTAATAGAGGTGGTGCTAGGAGCCTTTTTCCTACCCTAACAAGGATGCTGTGTCTGAAACACAGTGCAAGCTGCTATAATGTAATGATCAAAAACTACTGAAGATGTGGCAGAGTAGTAGGGTGAGAATGACAAACAGCTGACAAGATAGTAGTGAGGGATGGGAAAGGATGGAAGATTTTCAGGGATGCATGAGAGAGGGATGGCCAGGAGCATATCATGGCAGTGGCAGAATTGTGATGTTGAAGGCTGTGCTTATGGGTAGTGGGACTGTGGGAAGGTGTCTTCCTGAGGCAGGAGAGGTCTCTGCAGAGCTGTTCAGTGATGCCCAGGTCTTACCTGGTGTTTGATTTCAGAAAGGATTTAAAGGACTTTGGGACAGGATACTGTTTGCCAGATGACACACCTGACATCACATATGCTCATGACAATGGAGTGTCTGAATTGCCATCATTGTAATTTGGTCATTCAGAGGCTGGATTTGGGTAGTGATTCAGCTAATCACTCCCCAAGAAAATGCCTTCATTCCTTGATAAAGTGTTTCTTTAGACTGTACTGACTTTATTGATTACATCTGGAGATGCACACAGTTGTCTGATGAACAGGCATCTAAACCTATGTTTCTTACTATGTGAGCTGAACATAATCTCACCTTGAAAACAGCATATCTTCAGCAAATCCATAGCAGAGCCAGGAACAGAACCCCTGTTCCCACATTCCTAGGTCAGCCTTATTCTTGAGCAAGTCTGAGTCCTGCTCCAGCAGGACTCAGGACTGAGAAGCCATGAAGGTAGAATAGAACAAAAGGAGGCATCAGATTTTGGGGTCATGGGACATTCTGGAGAAACCACAGGAAAAGAATAGGGGAGTATTTATGGTCTTGAACATTACTGTTCTGCATTCACCATGAGTCTGGGTTGTAATTTAACCTGTTTGCCTCCGTGTTTCAAGGGAGGTGGTACCAAGTGAAAAATGGAACAGAGAAATTACTAAATTCCTTATGATGGATTTTTGTAATCTGTTTAGTGAAGAAATATTAGGACTTTTTTATCAATAAGACTATCTTGAATATTTTTCACTGCCTCCAGTTGTCTTAACTTCATCCATCTTCCTAAATGTTGAAAAATTTGCAAATTCATGTTTTGCTTTAACTCTTGAGCTGTTATTTCAGTAACTTTGCATGGCAAGTATACTGAATGTCATATGATTAACCTAAAAACTCATTACAGCAACACATATCAAGGTCTTTATAAACTTTATAAAGAAAAGGAATTTCCTTATGAAAGGAAATTCCCCTTGGATTCCCATAGGACTGACCAACTTGATGATCTGACTACAAGTGTGTGATTGCTACCCTCTCCTCTTTCACTGTTGAGATTTATAACCCATTTTTTGTTCAACAAATTTTTTTGTTAGTTACATTGCTATGCTGGCTCCTAACTCCTTTTGGCTTATTTCTGTTTTCTGTCATTTCCTAAACCAGTTGTTCCTTACGAGATCACAGTGTACACCAGTGATATTTTTGGAGCTGGTACAGATGCAGATGTCTTCATTGTTCTCTATGGAAGTGATGGGATTTGCACTCAGCAAAAATCCCTGTGCCTCAACAAGAGAGAGCAAAGGATGTATTTTGAAAGGAATTCAGTGAATCAATTCATCGTGGAGGTAAGATTGAAGCATGGGGAGCACTGGGGAGCATGCAATGGTCAGGAATAGACACCCTCAGTCCTCTCTATTCTTGTATTATGAAACCTTCAAATTTATTTAATCAACAGAAGGTGCTTTAATAATGCCTGAGATGAGTCTTGGACAGGTGTGGGAGGTCACAAAATGAGGAAGGTCATGTCAGCCTCTGCCCTTCCCTCCTCTTCCCCACCTTCATTGGCATCAAGGATTTGTTTCCAGGCTCAGGAAGGGCCAGAGGTCATTTCTAAAATGACAATGAGAGTGGAAATCCTGACCAGGGTTTGCCACCACTGCTCTGCTCCTCACTGGTCTCACCCAGTTCAGTCACTGCTGCTCTGCTCTGGGCTGGAACAGCCTCACTTTGAGTGCTGAGGGGACTTTTGGGTGTCACAGCATAAGGAAAGACATTAAACTATTAGGGAGCATCCAAAGAAAGCCACAAGGATGGTGATGGGCCTTGGGGTGAAGCTGTCTGAGGAGCACTGTGTCTGCTCAGCTGGAGAAGAGGAGAATGAATGGAGACTCCACCACAATTCCAACTTCCTCAGAAGTTGGAATTGTGGTGGAGGGGCAGAAGTTGGAAGAGGAGGGGCAGACACTGATCTCTGCACTCTCATGGGCAGACAGGACTTGAAGAAACAGCATGAAGGGAAGGTTTAGGTGGGATATCAGGGAAAGGTTTTTCCCCCAGAGGGTGCTGGGCACTACCCAGGCTCCCCAGGGAATTAGCATATTCTCAAGGCTGCCAGGACTCCAGGAGCATTTGGACAGCGCTGCCAGGGATGCCCAGGGTGGGATTGCTGGGGTGTCTGTGCAGGGACAGGAGCTGGACTCTGATCCTTGAGGGTCCCTTCCAGCTACAGGGTGTTCCGTGATTTTGTGATTCTCTTGCAGTTTGCAATACTTAGAAGCATAGTGATTTTTCTTCTGTATCCTCAGACAGAGAAACCATTTCTTTGCTGTAGACAATGTGATTTTTGAATACCCATGCTAACTTTTTGAAAGATCTTACAAAGTACTTCCTGAAGTGTTTGCACAACTGTATGCAAACAGTAAACCAGTGCACATCAAATAGTGAGCTCATTTGCATCCAGAGTATTAAGCAATTCCTATTTACAGTATATTCCTATTGCTGAGAACTTTTAAGAGGCAAAAAATATAGGCAGACCTGCTCTGGATTATCCTGTTGATGCTGCTCCCTTCCCTTCCCTTCCCTTCCCTTCCCTTCCCTTCCCTTCCCTTCCCTTCCCTTCCCTTCCCTTCCCTTCCCTTCCCTTCCCTTCTTGGCTACAACACCACCACTGACTTCATAGAGGATCTTACAGCTTCTCTCTGTTTTGAGTCTGTTGTTTTTTGTTTTTTTTTTTTTTTGTAATTGAAGAGAAATTTTAAACCAATTCTTAAAATACTTGCATCCCACATTGTTGTTATATGTCATGAATCATAAAATAAATCCCCAGTGTGATTCCTTTAAAACAAAGAATAAGACTTATTTCTGTGGAGTATCCACACAATTTTTCAGAGTAGAGGTTGCATTAATCCACAAATCTTAAACTGAGTGTTCTGGTTAAGTCTTTCTTACATAAGATTTATTTCAATTTTGGTGAAATCTGAAACATCACTACTTTCTTAGATTAAGTGAAAGAAAATGCAGTGTGTTCTGCTGATTTATAACATCATATTAACCTGTCCCCAAATTTCATTCTCACTTCACCAGTTCCTCTTTCTGCAGGAGATGGGAACAAAGCAAAATATATTTTTCTTTCACCTGCTTCTGCAGAGCCATAATTTGGAGTGAAACAGACCCTGAAAACAATTTGGGGGGTTTCAGAAAACACAAACTGGGAATTGTCTGTTCTCTTTGTGGTTTTACCTCCCTCTACCATTTTGTATTTTTCAAAAGAGGCACAAAATATTAGAGATTGCTCCTAGCTGTGCTTCCAAGTGATGATTTGCTGGAGATGCCTAGAGCAGGGTAAAGCCCACTTCTTCTTTAACATGGATCTTGACTGCTCAAGCATCATTTTATTGCTACGTATTGATTAAAAGTCTCATTGAAAGATGAGTATTTGGACAGGACAAAAGAGGAAAAATATTTTTTCCCTAATGTATACTTGTGTGCATGTGTGTGAGTTTTAGAAATTAGTTTGGATTGTTTAGTTATTTTGTGGTGAATCTTATGCTGTCTAAAGTTGGAGCAGGGCTGATGGACTCAAACCCAGTTTGTTCAGTGTGGATTCCTTGGGTAGTGAAGACCTACTGACATATAGAGCCTTCTAAAGCTATTGCACTCGTTGCTTCTGTATGGCTGGGAAGAGAAGGAAGTAGTCTCCAGTGATGCAAATGGATATGCTCCATTTTCTCTCGAAGAAAATAAGACTCAAAAGCCCCAAGGACAGGACAACTCAGTGTTCTACTTGCAAAGGATTGAAGCCAGCCTTAGGTGTTTGAAGGCCAGCTCCACAAAAGTTTGCACCAGAATAACCAAAATCTAATACTTTGGGGCAAATTTCAGTTTTTCCTGTTCAAGCCTTTGAAAGGAAAGTGAATTAAAACTAATGCACTAGTAACAAATTACTCAATTAATAAGGTGAGGCATAAAAACCCAGTAGCAACTTCTTAAGACAGTCATCCTGTTGGCTTTCTCAGAATGGCATTGGGATTCTATGGCAGAAGAGGAGAGTTAATATAAAATGCTAGGCCACTTGTATAGTACTTTTATTCTTTCAGTATTAAGAGAGTGTACACAAGTGTTTAAAAATGAAATTGATTTTAAAAGAGCAATTTAAAATGCAGCTGCATTGCAGTTTCAAAGAATCACAGAATCAGGCTGGAAAAGACTTCTGACTTCATTGAGTTGAGCCTGTGACCACTCCCCACAAGACCAAAGCACTGCGGACCACATCCAGTCACTCCTTGAATACCTTCACGGGCAGTGGCTATACCACCTCCCTGGGCAGCTCATTTCAATGTCTGATCATCCTTTCTGTGACTAATTTCTTCCTAATGTCCAAACTAAAGCTCCCCACAGCCTAGGACTGTGTCCTCCTCCTGTCCCTGTTCCCTGGGAGCAGAGCCTGACCTGCCGGCTGTCCCCTCCTGGCAGGGGGATGTGCAGAGCCACAAGGTCCCCCTGAGCCTCCTTTTCTCCAGGCTGAGCCCCTTTTCAAATCCCTCAACCGCTCCTGGGGCTCCAGCCCCTTCCCCAGCTCCATTCCCTGCCCTGGACATGCTCCAGCCCCTCCATGTCCTTCTTGAATTGAGGGATGCAGAACTGGATACAGCACTTCAGATGATGCCTCACCAGTGCCAAGTGTAGGGAAATTTTTTAAACAATTGTCTTAATTCCCACTCATGCAGAGAAGCCTGAAGTGCAGGACTCCTGCTGTACAACCAGACCTTTCTCATATAGTGGGCAATTTGTACAGAGCAAGGTTCTCTCCATTTTGGAGCAGAAGTCCAGGAAAGCTTTCAGCCAAAATGCAAATTAGGGCGTAACTCCAGAGGAGGCCACGGAGCGGCTGCCAGGGCTGGAGCCCCTCTGCTCTGGAGCCAGCCTGGCAGAGCTGGGGCTGTTCACCTGCACAAGAGAAGGCTCCAGGGAGAGCTCAGAGCCCCTGCCAGGGCCTCAAGTGGGCTTCCAAAACAGAGTGTGAAGGACTTTTTATACAGGCAGATAGTGACAGAATAAGGGGCAATGATATTAAACTGCCAGAGGGCAGGGTTAGATGGGATATTGGGAAGGAATTCTGCCCTGCGAGGGTTATGAAGCCCTGGAACAGGTTTTCCAGAGAAGCTGTGGTTGCTGCATTCCTGGAAGTGTTCCAAGGACAGGGTTTGGAGCCCCCTGGTCTAGTGGTCAAGTGGAAGGCATCCCTGCCCATGGCAGGAGGGTGGAATGGGCCGATCTTTGTGGTCCCTTTGAACCAAAACCATTCTAGGATTTCATTTTATGATTCTACAATTGACATCAGTACTAATATTTTCTCCCCTGGGAGTTCAACAGCCTGAAAAAAATATGAAATAAAGTAGAGAAGTGATTTCTCAAAGGTCACAACTTGTTCACACTATAATATTTCCCCTTTTTAAAATTTTTTTGGTGTTCTGTTTGTTTGACTTTGGTGTTTGTTTCTTTGTTTTTCTATAGCTGGAGGACGTTGGTGACATTATTGAAAAGATTCGCATAGGACATAAGGGCGGAGGTCTGAACTCAGGGTGGCACTTGGACCGTGTGACAATTCGGAGGCTGCTGCCAAATGGGAAGGTAGGCTGTGAATACCAGCACATCCCCAGGAGACGCCACTTCCATCTCTCAGATTGCATCTTCTATGTACAAAGTGTGATTAACAGTGAAAAATGGCTGGCGCGCTAAAGTTGCTGGAGCCTGGGGATCTGGGGACAGCAAATGTGTGTTATTGTGTTTTGTTCTTAAAATGTTGATTATAAGGCTCTGCAATAATTACTTTTTTTTAAAGCTTTGTGTGTTCCTGTGTACTTTTGTTTTGAGGCATCACAGGGAAGGGAGTGGAAACTGGGTGTACTATTTTAAAATAAAAAAGTATTGTTGCCAAACATGGATTAGAAACAATTTTGTCAGTCTCATAATCCTGGAGGAAAAAGCAAGGAGCTAGTACAATTAAGGCATGTAAAATGCCTCTCTGTGCAACTCCCTGAATCATATTAAAAAGTCAAGCTAGATGGTAGGAATTTTTGCTGTTCATATGAACAAGATTAACACAGTACAATCAAATTGGTCACCTTGATCCTGTCAAGAAAGTGTCCCTCAGCCGTGCTTTCAGATGCTGGCTATAGCAATAGGAATGAGTCTGGCTCTGAGGAAGTTCAAAAGAAAATCACCTCTTCAGGGCCAGTTCAGAATTAAAGCAGTAGCTGCATTGGAGACCTGGACTCTTTCCCTTATTCCAAAGGGATGTCAGCCTCTATCTCCCCTCAGGTCTGACCTCTCCTCAGGTGACTTCTGATACCAAGATCAAAACCAGCTTGTTCAGTCATGGTGAACCCACTTCTCATCTTGCTTCCTCCTTCAAAATTTACATTTCTACTTTTCTACACAATCAACACACAGGTCTTCTTCCTTCTTCCCATAGAACCCTCCTCACCATAGAATTGTTTCTGGGATTGTTTAGATTTAAAGAAGAACTGCAAGATCATCAAGTCCAACCATTCCCCCAGCACAGCCAAGGCCACCACTGACCCATGTCCCCAAGTGCCCCATCCACACAGTTTTTAAATCCCTCCAGGAATGGGGACTTCTCTACTGCCCTGGGCAGCTCTGCCAGGGCTGGACAATCCTTTCTGGGAAGAATTTTTTCCCAATATCCAGTCTAAATCTTTCCTGGTGCACCCTGGGGCTGTTTCCTCTCCTGCTGTCCGTTGTTCCCCAGGAGTAGAGCCCGACCTCCACCTGACCTACTGCCAAGGAGCTGTGCAGAGTGAGATGATCTCCCATTTCCATCCTCCTGAATGAGCTTCTTCACAAGCCAGTACCCTCAGGTTGCTCCTCATTATCATCTTTTTGCCAGTCTAACATTAGCAGACTCTCCGTGTATGGCCTAACCCTTGCCTAGCTTCCTTGGGTTAATGAAACATTGTTTTCAGAGATATTGTTATTGGCCACAGGCTGGAGAAGATGAAGAGGAGGGTGCCCAACTGTGTGGAAACCAAGGGAAAAGAGGTTCCTGGGCTGCCTCTTTCTGCACTGGTCTTGAACTGAGCACTTTGGGAAGCCCATGAGAGCTCTGTCTTGGGTGCTCCTCAGTTTGCTAAGAGAGGGTCTGGGGGCTGCACCCCCTCCTCAGTCACTGCAGCAGCTTTGAAGGGTGGGTGGGGAGGAACCTGAGGGTGGAGGAAGGGAGGAAAGCCCAGAACGACTTGGGAATGGAGAGATTCACAATTCTGCTGATCTTTTGATTATGGCATGGAAAAAAAGAAAGCAGAGCACTGTACGATGCTGCTGATCAGCCGCAGGATATTATGACCTGCCACAGGATAGCAATATGCTGCCAGCGCTTCTAAAAGCTGTGCTACCTGATTAGACTGCTAAGATGTGTCTAGATGTATCTGTAGAGCTGCAAAAGAAAAATGAGGTCAGTAACTTTTCAGATTAAATTGAAAGCACTTGGGTAGGAAACTAGGATTGTTGTGTGCTGAAAAAACTGCCTTGGCATGCCAATTATATTTGATAATTATATTTCATTTGTTACAACTTGGAGAAGGGAAAAGCACTGACTTTTAACACATTATCATACCCTGCTTCTAGCTTAGGTCCAGACTCAGACTCTAACAAATTCTGTTCATGGCTGCAAGAGGATTTTACTGTTGGTAATATAAACCAGTGCACTTTACATCACTTAAATATAAATACAATCACTAACAGGGAAACCCCAATAAAAACTGTGGCAATGGCATGGTGATTATCAGTAATGAGACAATTAAGTCTTGCAGTAAGTGCACATTATGCCCCACTGTGCTGTCACTCCAGTCCCTCGATACCTTGTTACCAGATAAACATTGTTTGCATCAATGGCCCATACAGCCAGCAGTGTGAAATGTTCAGGGGCTGTTGAAACCTTCAGTGAGAAATGCAACTGGAGTGGGATCTATATCAGGAGGAGAGAGTTTCAGCACTGAAGCATCGTTCTGGAAAGCCCTCTCTTCCCAGCCTGCAGGTGTGGAGATAAGCACTGTTCATCAGCTCGGCATACAGTGAGATAATACAGGTTAAGTGGTCAGACAGTCAGAGCAGAAATGAGGAAGCAGGAATTATTAGGTGCTGTATGCTGCTTGTATAGCATAAATAACACTTGAAAGTAAAAGATGTGAAATCACCTGAAGTGCTGCCGGTTTTCTTTGACACCATTTTGTATGCCAAGCTCAAATCTCCTCCTGGAGTTAAATATCTCTGTCTGGGGTTAAACAGCAGTGCTGCAGGGAGCAGCAGAGGGGAGGAGAATTGGTGTTTCATTAACAGCAGAAGATTTGGACTGTGTGTACTCCAAGTGTGATTCTGCTGCAGGCTCGAAACATGCTGTCACACAAGCCCCTTGTAGGGGCTCTGCTCCTACAGACCAGCTTCCCTGGGATCTTTGGGTAGTGACACTGTGACCTGTTCATTCCAGGTTAGCTGTGATCAGAGTGCTCATCTGCTCTTGGGTGCACAGGCTATTCCTCCCCAGTGGTGGTGTCAGGGAGAGCAGGATCTGCAGTTCCAGGCTGTAATATACAGTCACAACAATGTTCAAGAGTTCTACAGTGAAATCTATTCCCTTCCCTTACCATGTATTAATATTTAACATTTAAATAGCAAAAGTAGCAAAGAAAGGGCCCTGTATTGGCTTGATAAGTAATCACAGAAGAGTAATTAAGGTGGAAATTATTCATAAAGGGTGTTAACAGGAGGGCTGGAGAGGGACTTTGCACAAGGGGTGGAGGGACAGGACAAGAAGGAATGGCTTCAGATTGACAGAGGGTAGGCTATTACATATTAGAAAGAAATTCGTGACTATGAGAGTGGAGAGGCCCTGGCACAGGTTTCTCAGAGAAGCTGTGGCTGCTGCTGGATCCCTGGGAGTGTCCATGGCCAGGTTGGACAGGGCTTGGAGCACCCTGAGATAGTGGAAGGTGTCCCTGCCCATAGCACCCATTGGTATGTTATATATGAAAGTGATGCCACACAGTATGCTGGAAAGAGCAGGAAGCCCCTGTAAAGGGTAAGAGATAAATTATGAGTGTCAATAAAGACAGGACCTTTTCTTTCTGAATTTATTTACTGTGAGATTAAAACTAACTTCCTTTGTTTTTTTTTTTTTATTCTCTTCAGACTTGTGGCCTCTGTGTCTTGCATGGTGGCTCATGCTCCTCTCTTCATGGGGTCATAGCCTGGGGTGCCCAGCACACAGAAAGCTCCCTGCATCTTATCATCTTGGAGGCCTTATGGGAGTCTGTTCTTAATTAATAGTCTGGAATTAATTTTGTTTACCAAGTGGAAAACACATGTTCTATTGTTTTTTTCTGTTTGATGATATAAATTGTATTTGTTTCCACCAAAGTGAAGTCAAAACAAAAGATCAAAAATTGAGTCATTATTTTTCTCCTCGTATTGCTTGTATGGGAATTGCCTAGAACCCCTTGAGTCACAGAATTGTAGGCAAAATCATTAAGCATTGAGCTCAGAAAAAAAAAAAAAAAAGAAAAAGAAAAAAAAAGCCCTACTGGCTTCAAAGAAAAAAAAAAAAAAAAAAGAAAAAGAAAAAAAAAGCCCTACTGGCTTCAAAGAAAATGCTGCCTCAATTAGGTCTGAAGAGGAATTGCAGAGTCTCAGTAAAGCATAGCTTCAGCAGGAATGGTTCAGTGCTGATTAAGAATTTACAAGTTTTAATGCTGGGAAGGGCAGAGATCTGCTGGATCATACAGCCACTCTCACAAAACCATTGGGAATCCTGCTTACTTCTGCATGTTCAGTGCTTCTGAGAGCCCTCAGACATCCTCTTTCTGGAGGAAATACATCTCTGTGTACTATTTTAGGTCTGCCCCTACATGAGTTGAAAATCCTTGCCTTCATGTCAGAGTGTTTTCAAAGGGGAAAGGCTAGCATGTGTTCATGTTGTTTTGAAGAGATTTCCTTGTCATGTTTACTCCAGGGCTCAGAAACTGTCACATTTCCATGTGAAAGATGGCTTGCAAAATCTGAAGACGATGGTGAGACTGTCAGAGAACTGGTGCCATCTGATATTTTTACTGAAAAGCTCATGAAGGATGGGACACTCAAGCAGATAGAGGAAGAAGTTGAAGACCCTTTAGAAGGTAATATAATCCTAGGAGTAGGTAGGGATGATTTGTCTGATTTTTTGGATTAAGACATTTGGATGTATGGTTCAGTGCCATGCTGGTACAACTGTTCACTTCTCTTTCCCTTCCTGTTCTGTGTTTCTCTCACACTTGGAGCACTTCTGTGCAAAAACAACATTATTTTCCTCTGGGGCTTTTAAGAACCTGTCACAGACACCCTTCCACACCTCTGATGCCTAACAAAATTCTTACATCTTGTCTTCCAGGATGTGTTAACCTCTTCACTCATTTGCCCAGCTTCACCTGTCCTATGCACTCTGCCCCTTCCTTTCCAATCTTATGAGTCTAATTAATGCTCCTCTTTCCTCCCAAAGTTGTTTTGCCTGCTGTCCTTCAGGTACACATGTATAACTGTTAAAACCTAGGTCATTGCAGCCACCTTCACCTCATTGAAGTACCTCCCAGGAGGAGAAAAAATTCTTATTCAGTTCTGAGTTTATCATATAGAGTGGTGATGATGTTCATTGTTTGGCATTGCTGGTAGCTGAAGCAAATGAAAAAGAAATTTCACCCCTAAGTCATTGCTTCTCTATATGCCCAGCTGCTTGTACATCTTTTTCCTCTAGAAAAAGTATCTCCTTTTCTCACCAAGAGCTCATTATGTCCTTGAAAGAGGTCATGAATTTCCTCATCTTGAGCAGAGCAAGAGAAATTCAGCTGCCATGTTCATTCTTGGCTCTTGCATCTGGCAACAGGATGATTCAACTGAGAAAATAAGTTTTCTCACTGTTTCTTTTCTTTCAGAGCCTGACTTGCATTTATTGTAGAACAGTGTCAGGGTGGAATTAATGTGGATTGTTTTGCACTGCCAAGGGAAGAGGTGCCTTGCTGGAAGGAGGACTCGTGTCCTCCTTCCTGGTGGCTTATGGGAGATTTCTTTTCCTGCAGAGGCAAAGACAACTTTAAAATCCATAATTAAGTGGTAAAACAGTGGCAAGTGTGGCCTGGAGAAGTGGTGAATGACCCATTCTTGGAAATATTTGAGCTCAGGTTGGATGAGGCTCTGATAAACCTTTTCCAGTGGAAGGTGTCACTGCCCATGGCAGGTGGGTTGGACAAGGTGGCATTTAAAGGTCTCTTCCAATACAAGAAATTGATGATTCAACTATTCTATGACATCTAGGTGCCTGCGTGACATTTTCCTTAACTTGTTAATTTCTGTTGCTTTACCTCAGATCAGTTACCATTTGTTAATTAACCTAGGTGATTCACTTTTCCTTCTGAAGGCAAAGCCTTAAAACAAGTTTTACAATCTACAGAATAGAATTTTTGGATTATTGAAAGTTTCTGGCATGGAGCTAGGGATAAGTTTGGGAAATTCTGCTTTAGATATGAAATATCTGGAACACGGATTAAATCTTCTGCATGTCTGTGAGTCCTCATACATCTTGGGCAGTGACACAGTGTAAATGACACTGATGGAAAATCATCTTGTGGTATTCTGAGGATCACACTGTGTTTTATACTTTGAGGTCTCTAGAACTAGCAAGCAAAGGCCAAGGAGGGATGCATTGACTAATTAGACAATATACATTGCTTCCTTCATTACTAAAGTAGCAGCTGCCTCTGAAATAAGAAGCTGTAACTCTGTAGGATATATGTGAGGAGGCAAACCAGAAAATCCAGCACTGCACACAGTCCTGGTGGATGTTCTCAGGTGATGACTCTGACCCATTTCTCCATTTCAAGAGAAATCTATGGAAATCTTTTATGGATGACAAAGCAGAATAGGATCTGTCTTACTGGGAAAGAAGCGAAAGACAATATAGCAATTTTCTTCAACACTGTTAACGTACACAGAATCCTAATTTCGTGCCTCTTGCTCATTTGCATTGCCCTGGGATTTACAGGAAGGCATTCTCCATGGCTCATATGGTACCAGGGTAATCAGAGACTTGTGCAGATCCTCAGTGTTTTCCTGGAGAGGATGCTTTCAGTAACTGTTTGTTTTCCCCATATAATTGGGAGAAGAGTAGCAAAATAAAAATAAGAGTATTTAACAGGTTTAGTAAAGCACATTACTAAGGGCTTGATGAGGTTTTATTGTCTCATCATTGAGCAAGCTAAAGAGAAAGGGTACTTAAACAGCACAGCTCCAACCCTTCCTTAATTAAATACTCTCAGCAAAAGGACCCAGAAACTTGTTCTCTGTCTGTATGGGGAATCTGTAGAGATACATGCCATTAACTCCTGTAGTAATTGCACATCTGAATTCCCAGTCTTTGTTTATGGAAGATGGAGTATTAAGGATTCACAGCAGTGAATGGCTTTTTCTCAGGTCTATGTCCCTCCAGCCTCTGTATGAAAAGGTGCTGAGTTCCCTGTCCTCTATCAATTCCCATCCAGTAATGACCATAATGATTCTTTGCATTTTTAACCATGAGCTGTGTGATCAAAGCAACACACAAGCATTGATTAGATGGAGAAAAGGAAAGTCAGCAAATGTCAGCCCAGGGACTCTCCTGTCTTTGGATTGGAAACCTCAAAGGAAAATCATATGGGATTTAATAACTCTAGTAGTCACAAGCAGGAAACTTGGGGAACATTTTATTAGGTAAATTCAGTACTTAAGATGGATCTTCCTATTTCATCTGACCAGAAATCATCTCTATTTCTTTCTGCAGTTCACACGTACAAGATCAGCGTGTTCACTGGGGATATCTACGGTGCTGGGACAGATGCTAATGTCTTCCTAAATATCTATGGAGACCTGGGGGACATGGGAGAGAGAAAACTCAGCAAGTCAGAAACAAACTTCAACAAGTTTGAAAGGGGACAGGTACAAATGTGAAGAGTTAATGACACTTTCCGTTTCTCAGTCTTTAATCTGTCAAGTCAATGACTGCCTTTATAGGTTGAGTTTTCCTATGAGGGATGAATTGATTGATTCCATTTACCACATTCATTACCTCTTAAAATGCTTTGTATGGATTGTCAGCTGGGTATTACAACTGACAGGCACTGCAGCAAACAGGCAGATGTTCCTATGAAGTCACTGATGGACAAATTATGAGCTTGGTCATGGAAACTGGCTTGAGCTGTGAGCTGCAGATTCCCACAGTCCCTGTGCAAATGATTTGCATGTACATGTTGGAATTCACCATAAAACTTGTTAAATTGTTGGGACTTAATCTTCATCTGTATCAGGGAAAGTAACACCAAAAGCAATATTCTGTGGTCATCCCATGTGTCACTTGGATACAATGGTGGCAAGGATTGATTTATCTGGATTGTTCATTGTCCTGGTTTAGGGCAAATTTGGGAAAGAACCCCCAAAGGGTTCCTCTAGGAAGCAGATTCAACTGGCCCTTCCCCCTAATCGGTTCAGGAAAGATACCTCCTTGGAGAAAAGTGGAACAAACCTGTTTATTAAACAAGCAAACTTAAACAATATTAAACAATAAAATTTCTTGCCACTCCAAGAGAGAGACAAACTCAGAAACCCCCCGGGCTGCAGCTGGGCTCACTCAGTCTCTGATCCGTCCCTCCGGCGCTGGAAATGCCACGGCCCAGGCCCGGCCCGCTGGGCCACCGGCGCTGCTGCTGCTGCTCTCCTGGTGTTCATCCAGAGCAGGTCCAGAGAGAGGGAAAAAAACACAGTCCAGGGAACTTCTTTGCCTCAGCTAGCTAAAACTAACTAAAGAGCAAAGGAGAGCTCTGTCTCGCTGTCTGTCCATCAGCAGACAACACAGTCCAGCAGCAGGAATGTGGAGGAGGGAGTGCAGTTCTTGAAAACAAACTCTGCGCTTCTTCCTCCCCCTTCACTCTTGGAACAAGCCTTAAAGGTGTAAAACTTATTATTCAACATAAATAGGGCAGACAACTGGGGATAAAGGCATCATACAATCAACCTAGGATGTTCATACAAATCTAACTGGATTAGAAAGGGAAGTATACTTAAAAATCACCCAAGATTTCAATATTCTAACTGATTGTAAAAGTGGTGTTTCTTGCAGCTCCCCTCCTAAGCAGAAGCAGGCTTTAAAACATTTCCCTGAAGAGCACTTTTAGCTTACAGATATGCCTCTATAGACTTCTGCAAAGCTTTTAGCTAAATGCCATCCAGCAATATGGAATTTAAACATGTGTTCTGTAGCCTTCCTTTTTTGCCTTTTTCTAGTAGATTATCTGTTGAGAGTTTGTTAATAGAATCCACTGCTCTTGAACACCCTGCAGGAGGATATGTTCACAATACAGGCTGTGGACCTTGGAATTTTATACAAGATCAAGATTCGCCATGACAATAGTATGTTCAGTCCTGACTGGTTTCTGGAAAAAGTGGAGATCCTGGATGAAACAACAGAGGAGTCATTCGTTTTCCTGTGTGAGCGCTGGCTCTCTAAAAAGAAAGAGGACAAAAAGATAGAGCGGACACTTTATGAGCAGGTACAGCTATGGCTCAAAGCAGATTCCACAGCTACTGATAAAAATAGAATTCTTGAGTATCTGGTTGAAGTCCAAGACAGCTCATTAGGGACTCAGAGGGCTTTTGTCTTATCCAAAATGAATTTCTGATTTTCCGTTGAGAGCTGAAAGTAAGATCACTCTCAGCCCATTATTACTAGCTCTTTAATTTGCGATTTCAGCAGAAAAATCAAGGAGTATAAGTGGAACCCTTCAGATGAGAGTTCACTACCTTGCTGATATACAACATTTTCCTGCTGATATTCTTGCTATGCCCACAAAGCAGGTTAGTAGTGGGTCCCACAATTCAAAGTCCTCCAACCAGAATATTGGGTCTTTTGACTTCATCATCACATGGACTGGGTGTTTATTTCTTTTTAGATCCCTGTTCCACCACTGCCTGACATAAAAGCCAGGTCTCTTTACTACCACTCAAAGTACCAAACATTTTTTAGTGAAGTGTCGTTTCTACTTGCACACTCTCTACTGCTTATCAGCCTAGTGTAGCTAATTGGAATTCGAGGTACATGCTCTAATTAAAATTAGCAAATAAGATTAATAGACTTCTCTTACTCTATACATAATAAACAGATATAAAAAACCAGCTGATTATAAGTTCATTTTATTTAAGGAGTCCACTTTGCAAAGTACAGAGACACTTTAAGTGAGAGTTACCACTAAAATGATTATCAGTGGAATTGTCCTGGACTCATCCTCAATGCAGCAGAGGGGATGTAAGGGGAGTTACACCATGGATGAGTGTTGCCATGTGCTGCCTCATAAAACTGCAGCACACAACCCTTTCAGTGCTTGTGGACAGGCTTACCCCATTGCTTATATCAATTCATAACAAGGAAAAACTAATCACTCATTTTTTTTTTAATTATTTGACAGTGTGCCTCACACTGTCAATTAGCCTCACATTTATTTTTTGACAAAAATCTCACATTTGTTGGACAATGACACCAAATGCATTGTCAGTAACTCTTCAAACACAACCAGTGTTTCACATCACTCAGGTTTGCAGTACCCTGCCTCTTGTGACACTTGACCTGTACCTAAGGAGCAGCCCCAGGAGAAGGACCTGGGGATGCTGTGGGTGAGAGCTGGACCCACCCCAGCCTGAACCCCCCTGCCCTGGGCTGATCCCCCAGCGTGGGCAGCAGGGCAGGGGGGATTCTGCCCCTGTGCCCCTGTGCTCAGCTGAGACCCCACCTGCAGAGCTGCCCCAGCCCTGGCTCCAACAGCACAAGGACGTGGAGCTGCTGGAGCCAGACCAGAGGAGGCACCAAGGTGATCAGAGGGCTAAGCAGCTCTGCTTAGAGAATTGAGATTGTTCAGCCTGAGAAGAGGCAGCTTTGGGGTGAAATAATTGTGGCTTTCCAGTACCTGAAGAGAGCTGACAAGAAGAATGGAGAGAGAAAATTTAAAAGGGCCTGGAGTAATGGGATACAAGGGGTATGTGTTCAGATTGAAATAAAGTAGGTTTAGTTTCATATTAGGAAAAAATTATTCCTTGTGAGGGTGGGGAGGCCCTGGCACAGGGTGCCCAGAGAAGCTGTGGCTGTCCCTGGATCCCTGGCAGTGTCCAAGGACAGGCTGTCACTGTCCAGCCTGGGACAGTGGAAGGTGTCCCTGCCCATGAGGGGTTGGAACAAGATGACCTTTAAGGTCCCTTCTATGATTCTATGAGCTCTGGCACTGCTCCATTGATCTGAATTTCAAACAATCTCAGACAATTTCAGACAGGTAGCATAGAAAAGGTCACAGCTCACAAGATTCCTGTGTCTATTGTATTTTCTTTTAATGTAACACACATTCAAAATGGCCTGCCAGGGTTACCAATGAAGTAAATGAAAGACCACCAGTACAATACAAGCCACATTTATCCAAGTTATGCTGACCAAAAAGGTACCTGGGGGACTAGAGGCATTTCTTCTCATATTGTTCTTGGAGGCACATGGGAACAGCTGACACCATGAGTACTCAGCCTCACTACTCTCCCAAACATGCCCCCCACCCAGAGCTATGACGGCGAGCGGAACAGCCTGGATGGCTCCTCTCTCAGTGTGTCCAGCCAGGACAGCAATGCCAACCTGAAGGAGCCCAAAAAATCCAGCTTGGTCAAGGCGGCAGAGGAAGGCTCACGTGAGTGGTTGTGCCTGAGTGTTTGGTTGCATGCATCCATGTACTCCTGGCTGCCAGTGCTTAAGAGGCTGTGTTCATCCTTCTGCAGAGCAAGGAGAGGCAGAAAAACAAATTATTTCTCCTTTCCTTGTGCTGTGACTGCTCTGGGGAAAGCTGGATCAAGGCTTGTGATTCCATGTTTGCTGCTCTTCCTGCATCTTTCTGACCTCAACAGTGGCACAGGTTCACAGAAAATTCAGTGTTTCCAAACTGTTTGTTTGACTTAATTGATATGGTATTAAAGATGAAATATTATTTAATTAGAATTTAAAACGGAATCATTTTTAGAAGTTGTTAGGTTTCTTTTTTCTCACTACATGTAGTGTGCATCACTGCAGCTGTCTTGTGGGTCTAGTGGAGGGTGTCCCTGCCTATGGCAGTGGGGCTGGAATGAGATGAACTTTAAGGACCCTTCCAACCTTGCTTTTCTATGATTTTGTGATTGACAGACCCTTTTTTTGACTACCTCTGTGTTCTGGGCTTACCAGCTAAATTAAACCTACAGTTCTTTCGTATACTAAATGGGGCCTTTTAGCTTTAGATTAAGATTTTAGATGTGTGATTACAATACTGTGTTGTATTGACTAACTGAGCAGCAGATGCATCACAGTTACTGTCTGTCTGTGTGCTTTTAATGCACAGCAAGTCCAAAATGATTAAATTTATCTTAAACTTCCATGGTAAGTGAAGTGAAAATTATGTAATTTCCTTAGGAGTTTAAGATAGCTCTGCAGGGGGACTCACACAGAGTCCAGCAATGGTCACAGGGATGGTTTGCAGTTCCTTTGATGCCCAGTAGCTTGAGGTGTGATACCTGGGTTGCATGTCCTACATTTCATTTGGAAGCTGATTTAATGCTGCACATTGCTAAACCTGGCCTGCAACCCATGGGTCTTGGGGCAGCCCTTCTTTTGTAATCCCACATTGTGTTCAAATAAAAAGATAAGTGATTTCCATGCTTCTTCTGATATTGCTTCTGTGCTGTGACAATGATAATATCTGCCACGTTGGCATTCTGTATAGTTTCACAAATAATGGGTAAAATACCATAATTTCCCATGAGAACTCTTTGGCAGAGCTAGGAGAGCAGTTCTCATCTCCCCCCCATTGTGCCAGGGTGGTCTTTTTTCTCTGAGTCCTGGAGCTTGTCATCACCACTATCTCTGCTCAGTGACATGGCCTCATTAGGGAAACTGCTTCCTGAAGGAATGTCAGATTTCCTGAAGGAGTGTCAGATAAGATGGACTGGGTGAGCCAGGCAGCTACTTTCTACATGGGATAAAAAGCCAGCTTAGCTGGTTTACTCAGGAAGTGGTATTGGGAGTTGGCTGGGAAAGGGAGTGACTTTTATCACTCAGCCTGGTCCTGACTGTGCTGAGATCAAACTGGTAAATGTCTTTGAGGTGGAGGATGTGAAGATGGAGCTCAGGGAAAGGTTCTCTTGGCTAGGATGCTGCTTAGATCTGAACTGGGAACCTTCTCCCAGTGGGGAAGGCAGTCCTGGTGATGGCATGGATGGATCCCTGAGGAAACCCACAGTCCTGAGAGGGGAACATTTGGCCTCAAGCAGCCTGAACCCTGTACTGGCTTTCAAGGACAAGGGCAGACGGGCTGGAGGACCTGTGGTGTCCTGCTGTGGCCACCTGCTGTAGGTTTTGCTTTCTCCTGTGTTTGAAAAAAGGGAAATATGTGTCCTAGATAAGGAGGAGATGTCCTAAACATGACACCTCAATATATTCTTGTAAAACCTGCCTTGACTACCACTAAACCCTTTTCCTGCTAAATGCACCATTGTGCTGATATACCCACTGAAATGTAAATTATACTATAAATGGGAGAATAAATCTTGCCTAACCATCATCTCATTTTGTATTGGTACATAAAATCCTCAAACTGGGGCTGAACAAATCTTTTTAGGTTCTGTTCTGTCCAGAGGTAAGGACAGATTTGATCAGCATGAATTCATGCCATCTCTGATGTTGCACAAGTATTCTGAGTCTGATGTGAATTTCTAATACAAATCCCACCTCAAAAATGTTGTTAGTCATCATAAAGCAAAATTAGATGTCAATCTCGGGTAATTTGAAAACCAGCCAATTTTTTTTTTTTTTTGTCAACTTATAAACTTTTTTATTTTTAATCAGAAAAGTGATGATGAAGCCAGGCTGCTTCAAGTCTGTGATGAAGCAAGTTTCAGAGCTCTGAGTCTTGTCAGAACTGTTTGAACAGCCCTGCACGAATGTTCTGAGAAATCAAATGAGAATTCAGCGACCAATTCTGCACCACCTGCTCAGCTTACCCAAATGAGCTTTTGGAAAGCCCTTGAAAAGCAGTCTGGCACTTCCTCCCTTTTAACAGCTGAACTGAAATTTCTGAAAACCACAGAAAAACCACCTCCTCTTTTACCAAGCCTTGCCCTGAAGGCTTTTCCCCCAACCAAAATGATTATGCAATGCATAGAATTATTGAGTGACTTACCTTTAATACAAGGATTGTTATCTTCTGTCTGAATTTGTACAGGAATGCTGAAACCCTGAGCTGCCCCTCAGATCACAGCAATCCTTTAATGAGACACATAGGAGAGCATTTGTGGTTGTTCTGGGACATTCAGTTGGTGATGGCTTACCTTGGAGTCAGCACAGGTTTATTTGTCTTTATTGAATGGGGAGTGTAAGACCACTTTGACCTAATAGCTATTTAAGATTTAGGTACTCATCTTCAGGAAGGTCTCTTGGTGTCAATAAGGATTCAAGCCTTTTGCTGTTCTGTCATGCATTAGGGAGAAATCTGGCTTATAACCTCCTTGAAGCCAGAAGGGTTGTCAGGGGAAATTAACCCTTGCAGAATTCAGTCCCAAGTGCACAGTGGGAAAGTAGTCTCCAAAGCACACTTGTAGCCCAACAAAGCATGACATTTTCACTTCTCCAAATTAATTTAATGGGATGTGAACCTATTTGTCATGCACAGCTGCTCCATCTGATGGGATGAGCCCCTGGTTTTCTCAAGTCTCATGCAAGTGCATATGTGTGTGGGTTTTCTGATGAATAAACCTCTCTTGGTCACAGTGATCCCATACCACATCACCATCACGACCGGCACAGAGTACGACTCCAGCACCGACAGCCGTGTGTTCATCATCATTATGGGCCCGCAGACAGTGCAGACTGAGAGGCTGTGGCTGGATCTCCCAGAAGGAAAGGATGAATTTGCAGATGGCTCTGTGGAGAAATTTTCAGTTTGGGGCCTAGATGTTGGAGAGATTAAAAAAGTGGAGGTATGTTGTAAACGCGGCACAAGTGCTGGAGGCGTATGAAATGTGTGGCCAAATATGGCACATGGTTCTGTTATTCTTAGCAGTGCATGAAAGGCTCTTGGGTCTAAAAGGAATGTAAACAGGACTGTGCTGATGAGATTTTGCATGTGTCTGGACCTGTAAATAAGTATGCTTTACTTCACATAAAGCCAGGATCCTTATGAAGCGGAAGATATTTGTGAACTGTAAAGAAATTATGACATGTCCCCGTTTTGTCCCATTCCTGGCACTGCTTTTTCATACTCAATCCCTGATACTGCCAGATTTACTGAGGCTTCCCAGGATGCAATTCTTCATTGGTCTTTTTCCTAGTTGTTTTTCACTACTTCCAGTAGGGTTTCATAAATTGTGAGAAACACATCTTGTATAATTTCCTAGCTAAACAGGAAAATTGTTTTCACAGCTTGGAGGATGCAGACTTATAGAAGAAAATTAATCATAATTTGTAAGTAATGTGCACAAATAGATTTCAGTACAGGAACCATTTTTTCTGTTATGGCTCAGGGAGACACAATTTGCATAGACTTTCCATCACTGGGCTTAAACTTCACAAGAACATTACAGAGTGTTTGTGTACATCATTCTTGTTTCATATGGCAGTTCCACCTCCTTAAAGCTTGCTCCAGCCCCTCAAGTTCTGAAGCCCATTTAATTTTGTTTTTACCACATCCCTTTGTGAAGTAATCCTATCTGTCAATATGTGTGCCTGTGTAATTTGAAAGAGACAAGAAAGAAAGAGAAATCCTAACTAATAAGACAATTTTAGCATCTGTATGTCATGCTGTTGCAGCTTAGAGATGTCACTCACTCTACCTTTCACTCAAGCAATGCATTCTGACATCTTGAGAAATCTCTGTATCAGATTTGAGTTTCTTATCAAGTAATTTTCTTAATGCACTCTCAATTATTATGTGTTATTACTGGAACTTTCTGTCTAACCCATCTTGAGGTCAAACTTTTATAGTGAAGCTAGGTATCAATCCTTCTCTTCTGGATTGTGCACACATAGAAACCAAGAAGCCAAGGTGGGACAGAGAGGGAGGAAAATAACAGTATCACCCCTCAGGGTCAGAGAGACAGGAAGAGTAGCTTGAAGAAAGAAAATAAAGGGGTGATGGAAAAGATACAGTGAATAGGTTAGGGAATGGGTAAAAAATAGAAGAAAGTATGAGAAGACACTTTGAAATAGGCAGAAGCAAGGCAAAAAATAATTTGAAAAGGAATACAAATGAGAAAAAAGACAAAAGGTTTCAAATAAAATGTAAAGAACTAGAAAAAGAAAAAAACATATATCTTTCAGGCTGGTGATGTTCTTCTGCACTCTTTCACCTCTGTACTCAGTGATCTCACCAGTCTGCTGCCTCACCCCTGGCTCCCTTTTCCCTTCTGGTTTGTAACTCCCCAGCCCGCAGCTGAAGGAGCCACCTGCTCCTGGCCTTCTGCCTTCCTTCATGCAGTGCCCTCAGCTTGGAAGGTGCCTTCTTTTGGACCCGTGTCCTAGCGATGACATTGATGTGCTAGTCTGCTGTGGTTGCCATGGCATCAGCCTGCATTTTCCTTCTAGAAAATTGCAGTGTTCAGGGACATTGCAGAAAATTGCTAGTTATCTACTTGGGAAAAGTGAGGAACAGTTCATTCTTGAATTTGGCATTTGTCTGTTTGTGTAGAAGGTGAAAAGTTCTGAATGCACATTACCACGTGAAAATACCATAGTATGAGGATTAAGTTTCCAGGAGCCCTCTGCATAACCCAGGCAGCAGACTGTACCATTTAGCAGGGCGGCGAGATTTGCAGCGTGATTCTACTTCTAGGTTGGTATTATGCTCCTGCTACAAATGCACTCCACTGAGAGCAGAAACAGTGGAACATGAAGTAATTTGAAAGGGGCCCATTTATTCCTGTCTTACAAGCCTACAGATATATTATTTACTACTGGTTGACTTTTAATAGATACTCTGACATGAAAATAAATAACAAAAGTTATTCCATGTAGACACTTTATACTGTGTTTTCAAAGTAATTTTGAATATTTCTTCTCCTAATGAATGAAAGTATCTCTGTTCCTAGGCTGTTGTTGATGCAGAGAGACACAGGTATGTCTAGGAGAGTCCTGCATTGGTTTATTTTCATAAACCTCTTCTGGTTAAGAGCCTTTCTCTATCATGAACACAGAGGAAGATCAAGGGCACACAAATGTTGCAAATGCAACTCCAGTCCCTGAGTGACTAGGAACCTGATGCTCAGGTTTCTCTAGCATTCTCTGACTCTTCTTTCCATAAATATTCTCTCAGTTTTTTCCTCTGCCACTGTGCTCAGTTTCTATGTGACCATGAGTATAAATTGTGAATCTCAGTCTCAGTGATGTGCAGTCCCTCAACTACAGGAGGAATAAATCATAAATGTTTTCAAACAACCCAAGTAAGGATCTGCCTGCCTTTGAATTTTTTTCATTCTAACTTAGCTCAAACATCTCAGACCAAAACACTTGCTGTGATATTGATATATGCACATCCAGGCTATGCTGCTGGTGTGGCCATGGCTTGGCATTATTCACTCTATTGGCATGGTCTGTCTAAAGATTTGCCTGGAAATGAAAGTCAAATCCTGGTGCTCTGCTCTTGAAGTCCAGCCATAGGGAAGACTTGGTTGACACAGATTGGATTTGTCCCAGAATTTACACTGCTCTTCAGGTCCTTGGAAACCTGTTAGTGCACAGGTTCTCAAAGGCAGCTGGATGCACAGGTTGTTTCCTTCTGCCTGTCATTGATATCAAAGAAGTTAAAGTTTGCTGTGAAAATGTGGCAGCTAGCAATGTCTTGGAAAGAAACTTTGCACAGGGAAGCTGTGGATATCCCATCCATGGAAGTGTCCAAGGCTAGGCTGGATGGGGCTTTGGAGCAGCCTGGGAAGGCGGAAGGTGTTCCTGCCCATGGCAGCAGGGTTAGAATGAGATGGGCTTTAAAGCCCTTTCCTGACCAAACTGTTCTATGATTCTATGATGTGAGCAGGTGGGGTGTGCAATGAACCCAAAAGACCAGCCAATTTTATAATTAGGAAAATCATTAGGATTTTTCCTCCAGCGCTTTGTCACTGCAGAAGCATGGCCCTGAACTTTCCCCACTACCTCATCCATGCCATCCCACAGCAGAGCTGCACAAAGACTCTGACTTTGGGCTTGGAGATGCTCAGCCCAGCTGGCAGAGAAGGAATGGGAAGGCAAGTATTATATTCCCATTCACCTCACACCCCAAGAATCAGAGGATTAATGCATCCATTGTAGACTTGAATTTCCCTAGTGGTTAGCTCTAATTTTCTGCAGCTGCACAGACATTAGTACAGCAATAATACTCCTAATAGCAGTGATGGCTGAGATCATCAAACAGAAAATATCACTTGTTTTGGGGGAAAAAAACAAAAAAAAGGATAACTAAGATATATTACCCTTGATGAATCTGTTATTAAAAAATGCTTTCCGAGCCTCCCTAAATATCCTAATAATTTAAAAATGAAAACCAGTGAGGTTTTTGGACTAAAGACCTCATTTTCCTCGAAACAACAGAAACAACATTTTGTCTAAAAATAATGAAGTGCAGGTAGGTCTTTCATGAACAGGTAGCTCATTGGAATGACTGACCAAGGTTGGTACATCAACCTGGACACATAATTTTGCTTCCAAGTCTGCCCCAGTTTGAATTCCCCACCTTCTTTAAGAGGGACACATGTAGATTCTTGGAGAAATTTACACTGTCAACATGGTTTTGCTGCTGATATACCTGCAGGAACCCTGTTTTTTGGCAGATTCAGTTCCAGATGGGCTCTGGCTTTCATAATAAACTCATTCCTGCACACTTGTGCACTGTCTTTTTATTTCTGCAGGACCTCTGCCCCTGCTGCCACCTCTACTATTCCTTTTTCCACTTAAATTTCTTAAGGAGCTCCTTGTTCATCCATGCAGGCTTGTGGCCACCCTTATGTGACTTCCTGGTCTCCAGGACAGATCATTCTTGAGGCAGGAGGAGGTGGTCCTTGAAAATCAACCAGCTACAGATGTAAGCTCCATCTGTTGTCTCCTGTACAAAGACAGAGCTTTTGCAGTCTAAGGGGATGGGAAGCAGCGAAACAGCCTCATCCATTTAGTTCACTTATATGTGGATTTGTGAGGGAAGTGCTTGTAATAATACATGTGGGTGTTTGCTGAGCATCTTTCCTCTTGGCTATAAAGCTTTGAATAATCACTTCCAAGTGTAGTGACAGAAGTGGAAAAGCTTGTAAAGGTGGAGAAATGTGTCTGCTGCCAAGTGAAAACGAGTATATAAACATCAACAGCGCAGGAGCAGAGTGACAAGAGATTGGACATGTTTCCATGTAGGTCAGTCCAGTCTACCTTGCTTTTTTTTTTTGAGACTGGCCTTCCCTCATGCACAGCAGTTGATGACCTGAGTTCCCTCGCCCATGGCAATGGACTGTTTCAGAGTTCCCTCCATTGCTGTGAGGAATGCTTTGTTGTGACAGTGTACACAGACTCTGAGTCCTTCATTGCCAGGTGAATCACACCCCTCCAGAGAAATCCCCTTTCCCCAGGAGATGTTTTCTCTCTTGCCCTCACAGGTGGGGCATGATGGCGCTACCCCTGAGAGCTGTTGGCTGATGGAAGAGCTCACCATTGTCGTACCCACCAAAGGCGTCATGTACAACTTTGTCTGCAAGTGCTGGCTGGCCAGAGACAAAGGTGACGGGCTCACTTCACGAATCCTCAACATCCTGGATGCAGAATGTGTTAATGTTGGCATCAAGGTAGGCACCAGGCTCAATTTGTGCCTTTAGCTGCTGCAGGGACTTCTGCTGACATAGTTCATGCATCAGCAGCTCTCATATTTTGACTTTTGCAAGTGGCTTGAGCCTTCCCTTCACTTTCTTTTCCTTTCCTATGTTTCTTTAGTAGCAAAATCTATAGGCATGGTTTAGGATCATGACTGTTTAGAGCACTATTTAATGAGGCTGGCTGGATGCAGCCGTGGCATAGATGGGAAGGCAGAGCAGATCAGGCACAGCTCAGCAGCCTGTCCTCTTCTTGTCACCCACTGAGTCACCTGGTACCCACAGAGTGGAAGCAGCTTCAAGGTAAAGGATTACTTCTAACTCATTAGATAAGAATAGTGGAAATATCATAATGTTTTAATCTCTCCATGATGTGGCTACATACCAAATTTTCTAATAGGTGATAGGGAATTTCATAATTACTGGAAGTTGTTGAAACATTAAAACATTTGTAAGCCTGATCTTTGGTGAGAGTATCTAATTAAAGTTGCATCAGTGATGAATAAAACTCTATCTTTTCTTCATACAAATATATGAATTTTGAAGTAATATCTGGTATGCCATATTTCAAACAAGTACAAATTGGAAAGCCGACCTATGCTGATTTTGGATCCAAGATTTGTAGCAGAAATAACAGTCTGGATGAAGGTGACAATGACACTGTGTTTAAATACCTGTGTTGCAATTTAAAATCTCTATAGATGTGCTTCTATTTACAGTCAGGTTACACTTTCAGAGTACATTATTTTTTCTTTATGCTGCTCTTGATGCCCAAGCTAAAGATATTCTCCTGAATCTTTCTTGTCCCCCAGACATGTAAAAACTGGTAACGTTTTTAGCATTTGTGAAGGATTCACCAAATCAATGAAGATTTCAGTGGTGGAATTGACCTATGAGGGTATAAAAACCTCCCTCAGACTTAATATCAACGTTAAAACCAATCTCATAAAAATCTGCCATCTGTTGTTGAACCTCCTCAATGAGGTTTCCAAGCCCCTATTGGTGAGATGATGGCTTGCCTATAAATTGAAGTGGATCTTAATGAAGACTTGTGTTCAGTCTTCCTTTAAAAGCACAATCCTGAATATTTATTGGCATAAGCACACCAAAAATAGACACATCTAATGACAATTTTTTCCCTGTGATGTTGGGCCAGAAACTTGACAGGAGACTTGAAGGAAATCTGGGGAGACGCCTGGGACATAAAACCAAAAGTGAGCATTTGACTTTCTGATCAGTCTCCCAGTTGAGGGAATTTGGGACTCTTCTCTCGTTAATAGCTGTAGTTAGAAACTGAGTCTTACAGGCATTTTAGAGTTCAAAGGCAACTGATATGTTTAGTATAATTGGGAAGATTAATACTTTTCTAGGTTTTTTTCCTGCTTGGCTTTTATACAGCCATATGTACCCATTTCAACTTAATTTTCTTCTTGGCTTGATATTCCTTCTTTTTGCTTTAAATTGAGTATTTGCTTTCCCATAGTTGTAGAAATTATTCAATGTCCAAAACAGTCATTAGAAGCCTTCAATGCATTGGTAAAAGAGTTTTTCTCCTTCCTATAAAAAAACAGGATGCATTGCTAAGATTTAAAATACATGGATGAATATGTAATCAACAGGTAACTCAGGTTCAAACAAATGTGAAAAATAATTTCTTATATAATGTTATTCCTTTACACTGCTCATTTATGTAGCAGACAAAATTTAGGCCAATAAAACAACAAAGCTAGCCTAGCAGTGCACAAATTGAAGTATGTTTCTGTGAGCTGTTTCTTGATATTCTTCCATGTCTTAAAGAAGCCTTGGTACCACAACCATGATCTTGAAAGCATCTAGGTGGTCTAGAGGTCCTAAAACCCCTGACAGCCACTGGGATTTACACATTTTTGACATATTTCTTCAGAGTCTTATTGTTCCCAGGTCAGGAGAAAAGAACAAAATTAGGGTAGCAAGGTGAAAACTATAAAAAACATCTTTTCACAGACTGGCATGCCTTCAGAGTACACAAGATCCAGGAGGACTCTGCAGCTGATGCAGCAGCGAGCATTCCCTTGGAGAGCAGGGCAGCTGAATTTTTGTACCACAAGGAGAGTTCTGATGTATAAATCTCCAAACTATTAGTAATATTGGAATAAACATTGCCCATGTTAATAAACATTGCCCATGTTAATAATCATTGCCCAAAATTTCTGGGGGAAACATTTTGCAGCCAAGAAAAGGAAACAATAGTTCTGCCGGGAGAGTTTTTTTAAAATTATCAAGAGTTTGGTGCAGTACAGAGCTGGAGGGCTGGAGGTCACCAGTCAGAGTCACTGGTAGCAGAGTGTTGGAGACCCAGGTATTGATGTGAAGCTTGTGACTCCTGTGAAGAAGCAGCTTATGAGACCTTCATAATTGGTGCTGCAACAGGACAAGGCATAATGCATTTAAACTGAGAGAAGGTTGACTTGGACTAGATAAAATTAAGAAAAATATTTTATACTGAGGGCTATGAGAACGATGAGGCACAGGTTTTCCAGAGAAGCTGTGGCTGTCCCTGGATCCCTGAAAGTATCCCAGGCAAGGCTGGGCAGGGCTTGGATGAGTCTGGGATACTGGAAGGTGTTCCTGCCCATGACAAAAGCTAGAATGGGACAAGCTTTAAATATCCCTTTCAACCCAATCCATCCAGCGATTCAGATATTGTCACAATAAATGTGTCTCTTTCTGGGCTGAGCAAATCTAGAAAATGTCATAGATGGAAAGTCCTGTAGTAAGTTTTGATGCCTAACTTTGCCTCTGAAAACAATGGTGAACCAAGAAGATGTGTTGTAACCTTTTCTGTCAAGGAAGCACATCTCCAGGAAAGCCCTGATGCCCTCTGAAGGCTGATCTAGAACACAGACTAGGCAGAGTTAAAGAATTAAGTAGGGTTTTATTAAAAGGCCTCCATTGATACACCTTGGGCAGCACAAGAGCCCATCCAGGGCTACACCCAAGATGAACCAAAATGGTCACAAAATGGACGGCTGGTCATGGGGTCTCACACTTTTATAAGTTCTGGGCCATTTGCATATTGGAGTTAATTGTCCAATTACAGCTTTAGCCCATGAATTCCCATCCTTGTTTTTTTCTCTTCAGTCCACCATTGTTTGTGCACTTGGGCCTGAGATTTGGATCATTTGTCCTTGGTTCCCCAGCTAGAGAAGGAATTGTTTTGTCTCCCTACTCTGTGAAGAGAGCTTACCATCCCATAATACGAAGCTTAGAACTACACACTAAAGCAGCACAGAATCTGAAAAGTAGAAAGGCTAAAACCTGAGGCATCAGCCCTGTTTAGTGTGGGTTAAGGACAGCTGTTTAAATGAGGCCTTCTGATTGCTTCCAACCTCCACCAGATCCTCTATGAAGTCACGGTTGTGACTGGAGACATCGAAAGTGGTGGTACTGATGCCAATATTTTCATGACTGTCTTCGGATCCAATGGGAACACTGAGGAGATGCTGCTGGAAAAAAATGGAGACAGGTACAGTTGCTGTCATTTTTGTTGGTTAGAAGTGGAGTGATGACTGATTTTAGTGTCAAGTCAAGAAGCACTCAGAGCTTTGATCATGCTCCCACTGAAACACAAACATTTATTCCCATTCACATTATAGATTCAGACCCAGGCCCCTTGTAAGTATTTCTGTCAGATTTTTAGCAAAGCAAAGGAAAAGAGAGCACTGTAGAGCTAGGGGAAACACCCTTTGTCATTTATGAAAACTTTGTTTAACCTGTTCCTCAGTAGCTTAAGAGATAAACATCTTGAACAGAGGTATGAAGTCCTTATTGTCTCCAAGAACTGTGAACATTGCCCAGGAGAGCACTAGGAAATGGATGGGTGGTGGTAGAGAATGCTGCACTGAATGCCCTGATTTTACTAAAAATGATGAACCTCATGCTTTCTTCAGCAGAAACAGCTAACAAACACTATAACCCCAGCCTGATGCCAGCACTTCCATAAGCCAAAAAACCCACACATGCCACCACTCATCCAGTTCCCATGCTTTTTTGTTCCTTCCTAGCACCTTCCTTAGTACAGAAAGCTTTGGAATGCTCCAGAATGATCCATCTTTTAGTGATATCATGCTTAAATTTAATTAATTGACTAGCTCTGATATTATTCAGCAAGGCATCTACAGAGCATCAGAAGGGTGGGAGATTTTGGCCACACCGTTTGAGCTTGGTTTGCTAAGGGAGTGCTGGATAACTGAGGATAAGGTGCACCTTGCACAGAAGTGTTTGCTCAGGGAATGTTTTACTTGAAGCTGTTGTAGCAGAATGGGTGTCTGGATAAACATAGCTAAGATTGAGATCTTCATGTGTCTAGTTAGTAACAAACACAAGCCTTGTCTGTTGTGGAAAAAATGCAGCAGAGGTGCTGCTGACTAAAATATCTGTGAGAAACACAGCTGAGTCATGCAGAAACACGCAGCTCTTGGGGCTTGCTGCTCCCCATCACAGAGGAGTATCCAACATGCTGCGCAATGTCCCTGGGTTACCAGTGAGTGTGGCCACCAGTGGCACCCCTCTTACAAGACCCTGGGCAAGACCAAACTGGCCTGTCTTCCACTCATTTAATCCTAACACTCAGACCTAGTAGGCGGGAAAATGGACCACTGATGTTTGGAGTCAGAAATGAACCAGATATCACATCTGGGTTTGTCAACTAAAAATCTCTATAGGGGATCAAGAAATCTCCAGCCCCTCAGGAGCACGGCTGTAGTTTTGCTGCATCTGGGGCAAACCATACCCCTAAACTTTGTGGCATCTAAAAAACATCTCATTTGTATACATGGTTCGGATGGACAATCTCTGATATAAGGGTATGAAAATGCAATACAGAAGAATAGGAACGTCTCTGTGTTATTAGTTGCTTGGGTTACCATCTGACAGTAGAGGAGCTGTGAAAGGTGTTGAAAAATCACTGGGGCTGTGTAAAGAAAATGAAGTGTAAGGCACAACTCTTATGTTAATATCTCCAGGATGCTGTGCTATTCTTCTGGCACATCTCTGCTACTTGGAGGTGCTCTGTATCACACCTCCAGCTGTACAGAGCTCTTGTCATCTCATTAGCACCCTCTGCAGAGGACATTCATGTCCCCAAATTCACATCCTGTCTGTTTCCACACCACTGCCACCAGTCTTCATCCAGCTGTTAACAGCACAGGTTTTCCTGGCTCTTTTCCACATGGAAATCTCTCCAGCCATTGCACCAGCAGAGCAGGGATGGGTGAGAGCTGCTGCAACCAAATGGTAAAAGGCACTTCATCTTTTATTTGGGCCATCCAGTGCCAATTCACTCACAGAAGCTTAGTGTATTATGAAGAACCGTCTGTCTAACCTGCCACAGATTTAAGGCAATTTTCACTGCATTATACTTATTGCCAAGACCCCTGGGCAATGGAAATATTTATAAGGGCGGGCATGGGTAAGAAAGCTTAATGAAATCCTGTTGATAAATGGTTCAGTATCCTGAAAAGGGAATAGCAGCAGTCAGCTTGTCTGGCTACTTCTTCCCTTCTCAATTTTTTTTCCAGGTTTACATTCATCTTCATATAAATTAGGGATAGCAAAGAGCTTCTGTGTAACCCAGATTGTCACTTTGGCAGTCACTTCCCTCTAGTACTTCCCTTTTGGAAGTAGCAGATGAGTATCAGTGTTATAAAATTCAAACAAGGCATTTGCTGAAGATAAAAGAATGTTTTATTTTGCTAGCAGACATTTTAGCTTAGAGTTCTCAGCCTGGAAAGCCTCAGAGTGAGAGATTTCTATAAAGCTTTGTAGGTAATAGTGATTGCAATAAAAACTGATCATAGGATCACAGGATAATTCAGACTGGGAGGGTCACACCTTTTTTTAAATAGATGTGGAAATCAATCCAGTCCAGGGAAAAAAGTACCTTCTATTTCTCACAGTGAGACAGGCTGCCTCAGTATCCGGTACCACAGAAAGACAAATAAGAAGAAAAAGGATTTTTTTCAAAGAGCAAACATAACCCTTAATAACTAGAAATGGACTGGGATCAAAATGCCCTGCTAAATGCCTCTGGGAGTGCAGAGGAAGCAATGCCTGGATGAAAACTGAGAGGCTCAAGCCAACCCCTATTACTAACATCTGCAGCTATGCATGCTCAGATAGTGAGTATAATTACATTCATCCTGCAGGGGGTAATCTGAACAGAGGTTGGTAAAGAAAATGTTTTTTTTTCTCCACATTCTGGCACTGCACAGTTATGGGAGGCTGTGTGCATTGCCAGGAATGACATATCATCATTATGGACTGTTTCTGATGTGGCAGTGCCCACATCTTGCAAGGCTGTTCCCAAATCTCAGCACGCTCAGGTAATTCCCCCACAAGGAGAAGATGCATGAAGGAGAAACCTCAACAGCAGAGTGGTCACCATATGCTTGGTAGGCCCCCCAGATCTGGCTGCCATTCTCCTTAGCAAGGATTAGATTTCCAACTCCAGGACCACACAGGTCCCAGGAATTTGAGGGAGCAAACAGGAAGATATACATGTTTAGAACAGAGTAATACTGAGCCTGAGGCAGCACTTGCACTGAAGCAAAGCTTTCCTCCCAACACCAGTGATGCCAGGAGGAGGGAAGGTGCAGTCCTAGCCAATGTAATCTTCTTTGGGAAGCACATGTTAGCTGTATTTCCCTTCTCCTGCTTCCTGCTGATTGCTATGGATGAGCAGTTCCTGCACATCCCTGTGCCTGTACACAGCAGCCACACACTGGGGAAGGTCTTTCACGCAAGCTACACAAACCCACCCTGGTTCTTACCAGAGGCAGAGACAGTTTGTAAATCCAAATCCCCCAATTTCATCAGGTTGGCTTTGTCTCCATTCTAACACAATTTGCCTCTGCTTAGTAAACTTGGTCATTGGGCTTCAGTCCCAGTGCTGCATATAGCTGAGCTGCAGCAACTGCCTCTCTCCACAAAACACAAAGTTTTGTGCTGCACCTCAGGGAAAGGAGATGAGGCAAAATTATTTTGCCTTCTAGCTGGAACTGGCCAAGGACAGACAAGTGGGCAGCTGCCAGGAGGGAGGCGATGCTCAGAAGCCTGACTGTGAGCCGCTATTGTTCTGGGTACAAACAGAACAGTAATGTATGCTAAAGGCTGCCTGGAGCAGCTCCAGGTGGGCTGTGTTTTCCAGAGAAGGAGGAATCCCTGTCAAATCTGCACTGAGGTGTCTTGCCAACAGCTCAGTAGCTGGTGATTGCAGCACAGAAAAGCTCAAGTCCGATAAAGAACACTCATAAACTTTTGATTTGAGGTTGTTGGCACGGACAGGGCTGTGGCAGGGGACGGAAATGTGGAGAGGCTGTAAAGCAGCAAGAAAACCTCCTTGGTCTTCCAATCCCTGCAGGTTTGAGCGGGGCCAGGAGGACAGTTTCATTATGGAGATTGCTGACATCGCACCCCTCAGGAAGATGAGGATCCGGACGGACGGGAAGGGGACACGCCCGCACTGGTTCATGGAAAGGGTAACACTCTTGGCATCATGGGTCTCTCACAACCTGCATGTCCTGGAGCCTCTCAGCCCCTGGCAAAGAGGACAAAGGAACTGAGGGACTTGTTTTCATTAATTTTATACATTTTTTTCCTGTTTGGTTTCTCACAGATTTTCTCTGCAGGAATTGAGTCAAGAAAGAAGAGAGCAGAGGGAAAAGCTGAGTTTTAGAGCTTTTTTTGTGGTGGAATCATCATGTCTGGAAGTGTTCAAAAGGCTTGTGGGTGTGCCACATTTGTGGACTGTGGTTTTACAATGATCACTGTGGTGTTGGATAAATGGGAGGACGTGATCATATTGGACATCTTCTCCAACATAAATGTTGGAAATAAATGTTGGGTTCTATGGTTTCACCACAGAGTCCACTGTTGATCTCATTCTCCACTGCATGTGCCTTGGTTTGTCACCAGGGGCACCTGCAATATTTTCTGGTCCCTGGCTTGTACCCTCAGGCCCTGCAGATCTCTGCCATGTGGGAATCTGAATCCTTGGGAGGGTGGATGTTTGTCTGCCAGAAAGAGACACCCTGACCTGGGTGGGACATTCCCAAATAATCCATCCACTCTGCTGGATCATCCCATCTCTCCTCTTTCCTTCTCCTCTAGCACACATATTTATTGCCTTTCTTGTTCATATAAGTAAGGCGTCATTCCTATCTTGCATTTTGAATGGAGCATGCAAATTGATGGCACTTTCCCCTGATGTCCTACCTTGCACAAAAGAAGAGTGCTTGCCTTTATCTTGGCTGTCAAACCATCAGCTACTTGTAAGGATCACCTCTGGGCAGACAAAAGTAGTCTGCTTGTTGTGAGTCCCTATAGTTATATTTCTAAGATAGAGGGGGAATGGTGTGCTGATTGCAGACCATCAGATGTCATTAATGGAGAAACACATCTCTGCCATTTTCCTTTACCATACTTTTCCTGGAGATGACATCCTGTTGAGTTTCTGTATCTTGACCTTTTCATGAGAACAGTTTAAGACCTAGTAGCATAACCATGGTCAGAGGGAACTCTGTATGATTTTTAAAATTGGGTCCTTTATCTTCTTTTGACTAATTTACAGCAGTCTTTTTCACATAGATAATGTGTTTCTAAATATTGACCCTACATAGCCACCAGTTTTCAGTGAAGTGATGGATTTCTCTTACCTTCAGAAGAATTTCTGTGCTGCTGTACCATTTTTACTTTAACATTTCCACTTCTAATTTTTTTCTCAGCAGCTGGGCAAGGAGAGGAACTGAGAGAGGAGGAATTCAGGCTGGACATTAGAAGTAAATTATTTACTGTAAGGGTGGCATAATACTGGCACAGGGTGCCCAGGGAGATTGTGGCTGACCTATCCCTAGAATTGCTCAAGGCCAGGTTGCATGGGGCTTGGAGCACCCTGGGATAGTGGAAGGTGTCCCTGACCAAGGCAGGGGCTGGGACTAGATGAGTTTTAAAGTCCCTTCCAACCCTTAACATTCTATGATTTTATGATGATGCTTCTGCAGTTTCTCTAAGAATTAGACCTCCAGCACATATCTTTATAATTGATGCCACAGATGCACAGTTTTTCTCTCTCTGCCTAAGGAATAACTCAGCCTGTTGTCTGATTTGATTCAGATGTCTAGGTCAAACTCCCTTTGTAATTTCTCACATGCTTTCCCCTGAGTTTTATAAAGCATATATAATATGAAATCAAATAAAGTTTATTCATCCAGAGATATTCCAGGTCTTGCAGTCATGAATCAGTACCAGCACAAAGGCAAGGGATGGGTGCATCTTTAATTGTGCCTCCCCACCTTCCTTTTGCCTTCTCCATCCAGGCATTCCAAACTTCCGTCTGCTAGACTGTCCTACCAAAAGCAAAGATTTCCCAGGGAAGTGGGCAGGACCTATCCAGTAGGTCCTCATTTGGACTATCCAGTAGGTTTTGCAGCCACCTTCCAGCTCTACAGAAGTCACAGGTGGGCCATGCAACAAGAACAGGTCTTGAGAACAGACTTAAAAGAGGGTTTGTAAAAGTGAGGAACAGCAATTTTTTACATGGGCAGATAGGGACAGAACAAGGGGCAAGGGTTTTACACTAAAAGACGACAGATTTAGATTAGACATTAGAAAGAAATTTGTGGCTGTCAAGGTGGGGAAGCCCTGGCACAGGTTTCCCAGAGAAGCTGTGTCTGCCCCTGGATCTCTGGAAGTGTCCAAGGCCAGGCTGTATGGAGCTTGGGACAACCTGGAATAGTGGAAGGTGTTCTGCCTGTGGCGGGAGGTTGAACTGGAAGGTCCTTAAGGTTGCTTCCAACCCAAACCATTCTTTAATAATTCTATGGTTTTTAGAAGCATATGGCAATTATGCCAATAGTTTCTATTTTTCTTAGATAAACAGATCACAGAGGATTTTTTTAACTCCAGTGTTGCATAGATAACTCTATTTATTGGTTTTCTTTCCCACCTTCCCTGGGAAGGTAAACACAGCATTTGCATTCCCAGGTAGAGGGTGGCCTACAGAAGCATTCTGGAAGAGGGGAGGAATGATTTTTGTTCTCTGATTTGTATTCCAGCCTTAAAAACCTACGTAGCCTGGTGTGACATGAAAACTGATTGGAGCCCATTTCCATTTCTGTCAAAAGTGCATATTAAGACTGCATAATGAAATACTTGTGGGGGTAGTGCTAAACTCTCTGACAGATGGTTCACAGTTAGTGCTAACTAGCACAGTGAAATGAGAAGCTAGATTAAGCCATCAACCCCGTAATTAACCATTTGTTGCTCCATTTATCTACACGATATCCTCAGTTTTCTTTTTCTATTAAACTAACAATAAATGATCCTTTTAATTTTCTTTGATCTTTTGGTAAACCATTGCTAGCCATAATTTATACTACTTTTTGTTCACCAGATATAGAAGTGCATAAATACAAATTAAAATGCATGAATTATCAATGATGCTGTACACAGCCAAAATATTCAATTTACTAGCAGGCAAGTAGTAATATTTTTTTTTCTGTCTACATAAAATATACTAAAATTTCATTCAGAATCTCAGCAAAGTAATGAACCTGGTGCTGAAAATTCAGATTTGCTACCACAAGTAACAATATGTTTTAAATGCTAGTTCCTAAACCTCTACAGGGAACAAAATTTGATTAATGATGTTTTGCAACAAAATGAACATTATTGATCATTACTATGCCCAAGCAGGCATTGTGAATGCTCTCTAAAGCTGAGCAATGCTCACCACTGCTGGAGGGACACAGAGTAGGGACCTTTTCCACTGATCTAGTGCTGAATCTCATGTTCTTACACATCAAGCTGCTGTGACACTGCTCTGTGTTTCTGAAAAACCAGGGAACAAAATCATAGACTCACAGAATGGTTTGTGTTGGAGGGAACAACAAACTTCATCCCATTCCAATCCCCTACCATGGGCAGGGACACCTTCCACTAGCCCAGGTGGTTCCAAACCCATCCAGCCTGGCCTTGGACACTGCCAGGGATCCAGGAACAGCCACAGCTGCTCTGGGCACCCTGTGCCAGGGCCTCCCCACCCTTAACATTAAAAAAAAATCACACTAATTAGGAAATTTATCTAAATGCATTCTTTGGAAACCTCTTCCTGGGATAGCTGCTTTCTCAGTCCCTGTGATGATTTCACCTGCTGCCCAATATCTTAGCTTTGAAGTTGCAAAGCTAGAAACAAGTAGGGATGAAAGCTCAGTGAAATAGCAGGAATTATGAGACTGTTGAATTCTGCAGAGTTGCTTTCCTTAGAATTTTAATGTTACTTTGTGCTGTCAAAGCCAGACAGATAAGAAGCTGCCTTAATGAAGCACTAATTGCATTGCATTCAAACGTCACAAATAATCCTGCATGTGGGACTTGGTCTTTATTCAGGCCTTTCTCCTTTGTGTAAAGGAGATTAAGAGAATTTGAGAGTTATTATTGAGAATTGGGAATTATATAGCTGAAGCTGACTTTTATTCTTTGCAAAAGAGAGATCTTTTTGTTTTACAGTCAGAAGTTCCTAGGTTTAAGTGAAGAATAATGACATGCAAGAGAATAATGAAATCCTGTGTTTGAGCTTTTAAAGGTGAATTCCAGGAGCTGTGTATTTTGATATCAGCAGAGTGGGAGACCCTGTGAAGCATGTATTACATGACATCTGGAAAAAGGCTGGGTAGGGGTAAATAAAATAATCGGGCATGTCTGATCTTTCCATTGCAGGAGACATTGTGCAATTAATTTCAAATTGTTGGTTTAATTTTCCTGTCAACCACTGTATTTGCTCAGCTACAAAGCAAATTATCAATGTGTTATGCATACAAGCTTCTGCCACTTTCTTTTAATGGCTTATTGGTGTTCTACAGCCCAGTTAAGTTCCTTGCATAATTTGCAAGAAGTTTGAGCTGAAAAGCACACTGGATGCCCACAGCAAGTTCTACATATCCTAAAGAATAGCTTAGGTGCAATCCAAAGTAGTCGTCTCATTATCAAGAAGCAACTAGTTTTACTGAGAGGAGCAGGCAGAAATTATATACAGTCTCAGCTCAGCTCGCTGAGATGACTTGCTTGACCCTCATGATTGAAACCAAAATCCTGCATCATCCTCTGTGTGTGGAACACCCACAAACATCTCCTTGCCGGATGGGATTAATGTTCTGCTATTTTAGTCACTGAAAAAGGCTACATTCAGTGTTCACCCCTTCCAACAAATTGTGAATGCCCACTCTGTAGTCATGAGACAGGCAGACCTGAGAGAGGGAGCGATGCCTCAACAAGCTCCTTACCTGTCCCCGGGTTAGGTGGGATGTGGGGCTTCCCTGGGGATGCCCAGGTCCCACCACTGACCAGATGATGTGCTTGGGCTGGATGACCAGCATCTAGGGGATCCATGCTGGGTGAGAGGCAATGTACCAAATTTGTGACCAGAGGTCAGCCTGCCACTGCTGCTGCTTCTGTGTCCCTTGTTGTGACTGCAGAATCACAGTTTGGGTTGGAAATTACATTTAAAGCTCATCTCATTCCACCCCCTGCCATGGGCAGGGACACCTTCCACTATCCGAGGGTGTTCCAAGCCCCATCCAGCCTGGCCTTGGACACTTCCAGGGATCCAGGGGCAGCCACAGCTGCTCTGGGCACCCTGTGCCAAGGCCTCAGCACCCTCAGAGAGAATAATTCCTCCCCAGTTTCTCATCCAACCCTGCCTTCTGTCCATTTAAAGTAATTCCCTGTGTCCTGTCCCTCCCTGCCTTGTCCCCAGTCCCTCTGCAGCTCTCCTGGAGCCCCTTGAGGCCCTGGCAGGGGCTCTGAGCTCCCCCTGGAGCCTTCTCTTGTGCAGGTGAACAGCTCCAGCTCTGCCAGGCTGGCTCCAGAGCAGAGGGGCTCCAGCCCTGGCAGCCGCTCCGTGGCCTCCTCTGGTCTGGCTCCAGCAGCTCCACGTCCTTGTGCTGTTGGAGCCAGGGCTGGGGCAGCTCTGCAGGTGGGGTCTCAGCTGAGCTCAGGGGCACAGGGGCAGAATCCCCCCTGCCCTGCTGCCCACGCTGGGGGATCAGCCCAGGATAGAGTTGGATTTCTGAGCTGACATCCCTTGGGCAAAAAATCGTTCATAAAATGCTCCTCCCACAGCAACAGCCGAGAATGAGATGCCAGGGCTGGTCTCTGTTTCTGTCCTTACTGCTTACAGTAAGATGCACACAGATGCAATCACACATCCTGGGTGAGGGGCTGAGGATGGAAAAAGCTGGCATTTGGCTCCAGCAGCTTTAGTAGCCAGACATTTTTTCTCAAACTGCATCTGGAGTGCTCAGCATGGGCTGGGTATTGGTGAGAGGCCTGACTTCTGTGTCTGTGAATGCTCTCCAGCTGACAACTCTAATCTGCTGCTATCCCCACTGCTTCCCGACAGTTCCCTGCAAACTTTGCTCAGGACATTGTGCTACTTATAGTGTCACTGTCATTTCCAAGCAGGGCAGAGGTACTGCTAGATTAATCTTTTCCAGCATGGAGTTTATGCCCTGGGGTGGGGGGAAAATAGACCACAGATTTCATAAATAGGGAAAATAGATTTTCAGTCAGCCCGACATTAGTCACAGTTCAGTTTTGCAAAGAAAACTTCTCAGGGCTGGACTCCTAAGAGGATGCAGGCATCATTCACACATCCTTGAGAGAGGACACTTCTGTGCCCCAGCAGAAAGGCCACCAGCTGCTGTGGGGAGACCTGATTTCTTCTTGGTTGAAAGCAAGGGTCTGATTCAGTATCTCTTGATTCACAGAACAGTTTTTTTGACCACAAAGTAATAGTGTCACTGGCTATGAATAAGCAGCTTTTTAGAAAAGTGGGACATTTTCTACAGCCAAAAATGTCCTGTCTTCCTGGGACAGGGGGGGTGAAGGTGCTGTGTTATAGATCCCTCTTTAGCATCAGGCAGATTGAAAACCCCAGATGAGTGTCCTACCCACAGAACCATTCAATGCACAAAAAGCATGGCTTACTGCTCATCTTCAGTGTAGCTACTGCCCTTTTTAAAACAACTTTTTTATAACCTAGAGCAGTATTCTTCTTTTGAATTGCTGAAGACTCCAGCAAGGCTTTTCTGGGGTCAATAGAAGGCCATGGACTGGGACACCTGAAGTTTGAAGGCAGAATTTGAGCATATTTTATCTCAAGATAAGTTTTTCTGAGTTTTTTTTCCTTAGGCTGATATATGAGCATGGAATGGAAGAGTACAGAGGTGGTCATGGGGCTACAAGAAGCAAGTGGCACACTAGGAAAGGCTGAATAAAATAGAGTTTTTAAGCCATGACAAGCAAAGGCTGATGGGGGAATCTAGTTACAGTCTTCTGCTGCTTGAAAGGAGGTTACAGAAACCATTGATCCACACTCTTCCCAGAGGTGGACAGCAAAAAGTCATGAGGCAATGGACATGAGTTGCACTGAGGAAAACCCTGATCAGATACAAAGAATAAAATCTTCCCTACGAGAGTGGTTCATCCTGGGATGAGGACTCAGAGTGTCTGGGGAATCTACGCCCTTGAAGATTTTCACAGCTCAGCTGGACTCTTTGCATGGCATGCAGCTGTGCTTGGAGCAGTGAGTGGAGCTATCGACATCCAGGCATCCTGTTTTAATGTGACGTTTCCCACCACTCCTGGCTCACTGCTCCCTAATGCTATGCCACACTTCTCTGACATATCTGGCCTCATGTTTCCATGGCCTTTGCAGAGGCAGTGTTTTCTGATGCACTGCTACACACAGGTGCAGCCTCTGTTTCTGTTGGATGGTGACACAAATGGCAATTTACAGCACAGTCTCCTGCCTTCCATTCAGTTCCCCCACTTTAGTGAGAACTTACTGCTATGTTTTTGCTCTAGGCAGGTGTAATGCTTTTCTCCCACTTGACTGATACTCCACTAAGCCCACACACAACAAGAGATATAAAGGTGGGTATTTTATTAAGCATTTGTTGGAATAACTTGTTGAGCTGCTCTGAATTAATTCCCATTCTGTTCTTATCACCACAGCATCTGAGCTGCTTCCACAACACATTAGATAGTGTGACTAATATCTGTTGCATACTGTTTGTTCTGTCACCTTTTCCCAAAGGGAGAAGTGTGTGAAATATTAAGTTTTTCTGGCCTAATTTTATCTTGTGCCTTGTTTTAACTTGTTTGGGTTTGTGTCTCTCTACAATGAATTCTGCTTGTTCATGCAAAGAAGACAGGCAAAAGAAAGATGCTGAGGAGGGGTAGTGAAGTTTTTAATAACTCTGTTATTCCCAGGGAAGTCTTTGGAGTGAATTCCATGCTGTCTCACAGGAGAGGTCTGACCTTCTTAGAGATTAGCTTTGCCCATAACTTAGGTCAGAGGAGCAAATTTCTCCCTTTGCTTTGCCACATGGTTGAAAAGGCACTACAATACTGTAAAGACCATTTCTCAGGACAAACCACCACAGCAAATATTGTCCATAGGAGAGAACTCCATTTATCCCAGAAGAGAACAGTGTGGACTTTGGAGCTATGGCCAAGCTCTCCCCATGTCCTACCATATCATGTATTTTATAAGTTTAACATTTGCCCTCATTCAAATGGCACATTTTTTCCCCCCGTTTTGGCTCTTCACAGATCACCCTGAAGAACCTTACTAACCAAGAAGTGGCCACATTTACCTATGGGGATTGGCTATCCAAGCTGAAAAATGCCACAGGAAGCCTGGTGTGTGAGATGCCAGCTGTTGTAAACGACGAGCAGATGATGGAGGACACCACATACACTCTTCAGGTTAAAACCAGTGACATTGGAGGTTGGTCCTCACTGAATATTTTATTTGTTTTCAAGTATAAAGTTTGTTTTTAACAATGGGATAAAACTCCATTTGCTTAATTTGAAATTACATTTGAAAAAACATAGTTTCACTGGAATACAACTATTTTGGCTGGCTGTTCACCATAGCACTGTCTAAAAGACTCATTGTCATCTGAGCTCTGGGAATAACATATTTAGACACCAGGCCCAGGTGTGACTGCTCTTTGATTCCTCTGAAGACACCCTAACAGAAACTATTACCAGACCAAGATGCAGAGGTCAGCAGCCATATTTTTCTTTTTTGGTCAGGCCCATACATGTAGGGTCAGAGCTGGTGTGCTTCAGGTTTTCAGTCAGTACAGTCTGCCTTGCCTAAAGCAGACAGCAATAATTCACCCACCTTTTCAAAGTGGTTTGAGACCATTTATCTCAGGCTGTGAAAAAAAACATTTCTAAATGCACACCAGATACAAGAGGTGGAACAGAGTATACAGAAAGAGCTTTGAGAGCCAAGAAATGGGGTTTCAATTTAATTTCCTGGGATCACTGCCTCTTTTCATGGGAAATTTTGTCAGGCTGCTGGATGAAATCTTCTGCTACATATAAAGTGAATAATGCCAAGATGGGGCAAGCCAGACCTTGTCTTGAAGACACCTTGTTTCAAAGGTGTCTTCCTCAAGTGAGATTCTGTCACACCAGTGCACATAACCAGCTGCTGACTCTAAATAACTTTTCTTTATTCCTTTGTTACTTTTTTTGTTTTTGTTTGGTTTTGTTTTTTTTTTTCCTTCCTCCTGGTTTTATCAGCCATAATTTACGCAGCTTCTGAGGTTTGATCTAAGAATATCAAAATTTCTCTGGCGGAGCATCTTTGTGCCACCTCACCACTTCTCATTGATCTGCTCTGCTGGTTGCTTGTCTGAAAAACATGTAGTGAAATACAAAAGAAAAAGGAGAGAGAGAGAGGGAAAGATTTGTTTATGTATCTGGCCATCCATCTAATATAATGGTAGATCTTTCTGTGACCTTTTTTGTGAAAACCAGCCCTAACTCACAAAGGTGATGGAAATAGAAATGAAAGGAGACCAGAAAATGACAGCAGCAGCAGACAGATCTGCCCTTCCCATTGAATGAAGGATGATGGGTATTAATGAAGAAACATTTTATTTCATTATGAACAGCGACAGCCAGTAGGAAAGAGCAGATTACAGAGAGGTTTCAGAGAGTCTGTTTGTGATTAGATCACACAGCTCACTGACATAATGCTGAACTTCATTCAGCTTATCTAAAGCAGGTGCAAGTCATGAACCATCTCCCCCTTTTGATCATTATGTATTCCACAATTACTCCTGGTTGGACCAGTTCAGGAAGAAAGACATTTTATCCTTGGTGATGTTTAAACATGTTATATCATCTCCTGACACACTGACATTATCAAGGAGCAGCAATACTGCACAAGGGCTGGAATCAAATGTGTTTATTCCTAGGTATAAAGTTTTTCTTTGCAATGGCTTTCAACTTTCCAGCTTGTAAGAGTCACCAAAAGAAAAACAAAAACAAAAACAAAAAAAAATACCCCAAAACAAGCAAAATAATCTCATCTATTTGCTACCCTCTGAAAAATTATGCTTCTGGTTTTAGTTCCTCCTAGTCTAAATTGTCTCTGGTAAATTCATCTGGGAAAGAAATCTTCATCAGTGGTCTGGATAACTCTCCTGAGGGTCTCTGCCTCTTGAGTTTTTCTTCATCAGATTCAGACAGATTTCATGATTAAATTAGGTTAGATGGCTAAAGTTAGGAAAAATTAATCCCACAAAGAAGATTCTGCAGCAAACTAGAAAGCATAAGCTATCTCCCCTCCACCACACACATATTTAACAACAGCATGGTTTTATTTAAATTACAGTTTGTCTTTCACAAAGTCACTCTGCTCCAGTGAAAATTTAACCTACAGAGTTTGCAACAGGGAACAGCTCTGCTCCTGCAAAGATAAAATCACCCCTTTTCCACCACCAGCAGTACCTCAGATGACTCTCAGACTACACATAGGTAAGAGGAGGTTGTTAGGGCATACATCTCCCAAGTCAGATGGGTAATCTTTGGTTAAAACCAAGGTCTTGATCTCAGATGTCAGGCACAATCTGATTTTCTTCAAGGCAGGACCCATAGACATAGATGCAATAGAGGCAGATCACCTGTAGGCTCTTTCTGAGGCACAAAAATGTCCTTTGGCTGGTTAATTTTTACTTTCTCTATGAAGTCATCATATACATGTTAATTCAATAAAGATGGAGAGCGAATAAATACTGCTTTCTCATTTTCCAAGCATTAATGAAGCAGAAGGTTCTTATCTCTGCTGTTTTAAGATTAATTAGGATGTTGTCAACTCAGTTCCAACCTACAAATTACATAATTTAGGACAGTTGATATCAGCTCATAGTGCCTTATATAGGTCTTTTTAATGTAAAAAGAAAAACATTCTTTGGCCTCAGAAGGCTGTGACTCAAGTCCAGATTTTGTTTAAAAATGAAGCATCTGCTCAGTAGGAATCATATAATCATAGAGGTTCTGTTTAAAGGGTCCTTTAGAGGTTATTTCACTCATTTTCCTGATCAAAGGAGTGTTGCCAGAACTAGGTCAAGCCAGCTAAGAGTGCCCAGCCAAACACCGGACAACACCAGGAATAGTGATGCCATCACCTCCCCAGGCATCTGCACCCAGACCTGCACCATATTCCTAAGATACTTTTTTCTTCCTTATTCCCAGCCTGAACCTCTCCAGCAAGTTGTGGCTTTGGCTTTTTGGGGTATGATGTGAGACAGTACACGGCCCTGTCATCATGACCCCTTGTCGCTGCACATGGGGCCCTTGTGCTCCTGCCCCAGATCCTCTCAGGGCTTCTCCTCACAGTGGTGTGTCCCAGCTCTTGGCCATCTTAGTAGCCACCCTCTGAGCTCTTCTCAGTGTCTTGACACAGGAATTCAAACTGTTGTTTTGCACTGAGCTCTGGAAACTTCCTGCTAGTTTAGATCCAACCAGAATATGAAGGGTACTGCTGTAAACTTTGGGACATCTTCAGCCTCTCAGCATGTGAAAAGTTTATTCCAACCCAGACAGAGGAGTTTGTATTTCACCTTGCTGAATTCCATGGGATTTCTGCTTGCCAAGTCCTCAAGTTTCACAAGGTCCATCTGGGTTGAAATTCTGGCCTTCAGCATGTCAGTCACTCACACAAATCTACCCTTAGCTGGAAATCTGCTAGGAAACACTCTGTCATTGCTTAGGGTGTTGATGATGAAGTTCAGCTCAGTTCTGCAGATCCCAGAATCAATCCATGAGCTATTGCACTCATCACCAGTTAAGGCTGGTGCAACCACAGTACCTTCATCTCTTCATTTGTCAAGGTTTTTACAGTTCCTAAATGTGCCTAACAGTTTCCTGGAACTGGCAACAACAACAACAACAAAAACAACAAAAAATATCAGTGACCCAAATAAGTGAAATGTATATTGATCTAGCATTTCTGTTTTTTACTTTCCCATCTCCTGCTAATTGCTTGTGAGGGAAATGTCACAGCATGAGACCTTCATAAGCTTCTTCCTGCAGGGATGGTTTTGCTAAGAAACAGTTGGTTCTGTGCTTTTTGAGACCTGGCATTAATTAGGAGCCTGCTCCTTGCAAGGAAAAGGACTTCAGTTTGCTTTGTTCCTCACCTCAGCAAGTTTTGGGGTCATAAAAAGTACTGCCAGATGAACTGCATGGATCCTGATGCTTTCTCTTCCTACTTAAACCCTTTCCAGGGAACTGTTAAAAATTAGTTCAAATTTAACAGGTGCAGCTTCTTGCATATTGCTTTGCTTTTCCTCTGTGTGACCCTTTTTCTCCTCTTTTTCTTCTACCAATTTGTTTTCCAGTCCTTCCATAAGAACAGTTGTGATTTCTTCCTAATTTCTGTATTCAATTAATAATCCTGTGGAAGTGGGACCTTTCTCCAGAAGTTTACAGTCCCCCTAACTTTGTCTCTGCATTGTGTTTGAATGGAGCTGTGGGAAATAATGTCTCTGTGGCTCAAAGTGGATTTGTGATACTCTTCTGTAAGAAAGGGCCTGGCAGGAGGTTAGACTTCCAAAGCTGGGCTATCCAAATGAGGGCAGCAGATGCCGAGTTTCTTTGTAAGGCAGATTTCAGCTTGATGGTCTCGTTCTCCTTTTCCAAAATTTAAGTGCCTTCGTTCTGACACAGCAATGACTGTCCAAGTGTAATCTTATTTCTCTCTGTGAAATCTGCTTTTATATTGCAGTGTCAAAATTAAAATGCAATCATTTTGGTCAAAGTATAAATAGTCCAAGGTGAAAATGTAACACTTGCCGCTAAAATGTAAGGTCACTGCAAGAGCTTTGGTCTTGAACTCCCCAAAAGCCAGGAGAACAACGTGACTGTTTTCTTTGGCAAAATATGGAGAGTAGAGGACAAATGATGCTCAATATCAGGTAATAAAAATCATCTTGGAAGTTTCTTAATTTCCTAGCATATACACAATAAGAATGTGGAATTTGGAAGGGCAAAACTGTTGTGTGAGAAACTGGCACTTTTTCCATTAATTGCTGCATGGACAATATTTTGAGAAAGAACAATATAGAAGGAAGATCTGTTGTGAAGTAAGCCATGAGATGCCGCAGTGGCTTTGTTGATGATCTGTATGTAACTCTGAAATCTCTATACCATCAAACACAGCGAGAGCAGGAGGAGACAGACCCCAGCGGAAGGACCCTGAGTGCCACAATTGCTTGGACAAGGTTGTGGGACTGCAGGAGGGAATGACTGAGTGTTGAAAAGGGACTGTGCTTCAGTGGGAAGCCCAGGACACCACTTTGTGGCTAAAAAAGTTATAAAGTATGTTATTTAACACTCCTTAGTAGATTGCTGCTGGGTAAGTCACTTTACTTCCCAAGCAACGTTGGAATAATGGGAGTAACTACCCTGACATCCTCTGCAGAGCATTGTGATGGACAGCCCTCCATCAGGAACTGAAATTTCTGCTTCCTATGAGCATTGCCATCACCACAGTCACTGCACCTCAAGTTCCAAGGCAAAGCATCCAGCTGTATTTGTGGGATAGACTGGAAGAGCTGGTTGTCCTCCCTGCAGGATCCTGCACAAATCCACTGAAATGTCATGGCAGTGCCCAGAGAAACATGAGCACCCTGCAGCCTCTTCCAGCCTACCTTTGCTGCCTCCCCATGCAGCTGGGTGTTGGGAGTCAGCCCAAGGTGGCAGGATAACCCATGGCATTTTTATCTGCTCTCTCCTTCCAGGAGCAGGCACTGATGCCAACGTGTCCTTGATCCTGTTTGGTGAATATGGGGACAGCGGCACCCTGCCTCTGAAGGAGTCCAACAAGTCTAACAAGTTTGAAAGGAACCAGATGGATGAATTCAGCTTCTCTGAAATGCTGAGCCTGGGAGACCTCTGCAAAGTGCGCATCTGGCATGACAACAAAGGTCAGGGCAGTGACAGGGGTGGTGGGAGAGTTTGGGATGTCTTCACTTGAGCAAACACACAGACACAAGATAGGCTGAAGGCAGAGTTCCCAGCTCTGCTTCAGGCTGGGAAAGTTACCTGGATTTTACCCAGATCCTGTGTCCTAGCTTCCCTGTCTAGACACACCCCCTTCATGTAGGTGATCCTCTTCCCTGGCTTCTGGTGCAACATCTGCTCCAGCAGGTCCCCAGCTTCAGTCTGTGCTTACAGCCACCTCTGCAGCAACAGCGATGCCTCCCCCAGAGCAAAGCCACCCAGGCTGTTGTCCCAACACACTGACTCCATCCATACCTGTCACACAGGCCAGCATGGTACTCCCAGAGCAATTTATTGCTCTCAGCCTGACACTGACATGCAGGAAAATGCAGCCTGGCATAACACAGCGAGCCTTGGAAGAAAGAAATGAAGATCTGTGTCTGGCTTTATTAAGATCATTGCATCAGCCAGTGAGCACACAGCGTGCTGCTGAGAGAGGTTCTGACACTTCCCTGCTGCACGTCACTAACATTGCTGTAGTGACATCCCATCCCACCTTCAAGAAAAAGAGATTACATCGGATTAGCAATGACTTGCTCACTGGTGGCCAGGCCTTGCTTGCAGCCCAAAGGTGAAGCTCCATAGCTCACAAAGGCTTACACCTGAGCCACTATTAATGAAGCTGTTTGGCAGCAATAATTATCACAATCTGGGGAGGAATAGCAAAGGGACTACCTGGTCATTACCTGTTTGTACTGAGGCAGCTGGTTTATGGCTGGGACGGGTTTTGTGCCACTATTGATGTGACCTTGCCATCATCCTCACAACTACTCCAAGTTGTGGCAGATAGGGAAGGCTGCATGTCATGCTCTAGTAATAAAAGACACTATCTCTGGATTAGACTTTCCCATTGGAAAGTCTTTGAGAGGGAGAAAAAACACATCTAATGGTAGCCTCTGCCTGCAGTGAAATACAGGAGTTACATCCACCTAACATTATTGTTTATTCCCAGACACTGCAAGCTCTGAGCTCATATTTATCACTCCCATAACACAGCACAATTTAGTTGATTAAATTCTATAATATCATGTTATATAGCTGGTGCTGAATGCAGTAAAGGAGCTGCTTTCACCTGATTATTTTGCCAAAACACTAATTCCTTAGATCTGCAGTTTAGTTGCAGATATAGAAAGGGCTGTTGAATGAGAGTTTTAGCTCAATAAACAAGGTTTTTGGTTGTTCCAAGAGTGGTTCAGACATCCTTCTGATAGCACTAAGAAATCAACATAGATTTGCAGATTTGCTTTCAAACCTGTCACCAGCTAAAATGTGTGCTAAAAGAACTTCTTCCTCAAGTGGCATCCCTGGTGACTGACTGTGCTAACAGGATGAAATTGGTCCTTAGGGCTCAGGCACATGGACAGACTGGGATGCAGGAAGGTGGGAACTGGATCAGATTGAGGGTCTGAGAGCCCAGCAGCTCTTTCCAACAGCAGCATCACTAGGTGCCTGAGGAAGAGGACAGGCTGAACAAGCATGTGCAATCCTTTCACAACCCCCTTTACTTTGCATGATGAATAGTTCAGCGCATTTCTTGAACTGGATATCATTTTTGTCCATTAAATAATTTCCAGTGAATTTTCTCATTTGAGTTCTTGCCCAGGCCCTCCAGGAGACACTGGCACCCACAAATCCTGTGCCAGTGAGTCCTACAAATCAGTTGCCTGCTGCGTGACAAGCAAATACTGTTAATCCAGAAGGGTTTTTCTGCCTTTCCCTTCTTGCACAAGTGATCACTGTTCAGCTTCTCAGTGCCACTGATGATGCTGCTGACACAAGTTGGTAATTGCTGGCTGTGTGCAGCTGGCTGGTGGCAAAGGGAGGTAACAGAGTTTAGCCTTAGGCTAAGCAGTAAATAGGCTCAATTAGTTTAAATTTGCTCTGGGCTAAGAACATGTACCCCGATAGCCACCACAAGTCAGCTAAAATACTAAGCTGGGTGTCTAAAACTGAAATATGTATATAAATACACATGGCAACCTCACATTCTCTTTCCTTATTTCCTCATAACACTGGTTTCCATTTATAAATACTAGTCCTTACCAGGCCTGTCTGACAGCAAGGTTAATTTAAGTCCCTCTAGGACAAACACCATGTTCAGGTTTTGTTCAGCAAAAATATTCTTGCTTTTCCCTACAGAAAGAAGGAAAACTGTTATTTAAATCATAACATATGTTGTCTACATTGTTCTCGCATTAGTCATGTGAAAGGCATCTTCTATCTTAAACTTCACACGACTCAGCATGACAGTTTGTTGGGTGGGTAGAGTATTTATTACTGCTGAGATCCAGGATAGAGCTATCCTTTGAATATATGCCTGTTCCCTATATATAATTTATATAAATTGTCTGTGGCACTGCTTAGAAATTCCTGGCTCTATTTCTTTTAAATGAGTAGTAGGGTCAGAAGTCAAGTATGTTTTTTGTCAGATGCATGAAGGACTTTGGGTATTAAATAAAGATGTGTTTGTATTTACCACTACTCTGAGGCTTCAGATGTTGATGATTCTTTCTTTACCTCTTTTCTGGCTTTTTTGGACTAAATGCTTCTCTACCAATGGCCTGTGGAAGGCTTGGCCTCACACTGGCCTACCCCATTGCTCCTCGAGTCCTGAATGCATGAAGCACACTTGTGTTTGTTTCCTGATCTTCTAAATTATCAGTCTCAATCACAGAATCACAGAATCACAGAATCACAGAATGGCTTGGGATGGAAGAGACCTTAAAGATCATTTCATTCCACCCCCTGCCATGGGCAGGGACACCTTCCACTATCACAGGCTGCTCCAAGCCCTGTCCAGCCTGGCCTTGGACACTTCCAGGGATCCAGGGGCAGCCACAGCTGCTCTGGGCACCCTGTGCCAAGGCCTGTCCACCCTCCCAGCCAGCAATTCCTTCCCAATATCCCATCTGTCCCTGCCCTCTGGCAGTGGAAGCCATTCCCTGTGTCCTGTCCCTCCCTGCCTTGTCCCCAGTCCCTCTGCAGCTCTCCTGGAGCCCCTTGAGGCCCTGGCAGGAGCTCTGAGCTCTCCCTGGAGCCTTCTCCTGTGCAGGTGAACAGCCCCAGCTCTGCCAGGCTGGCTCCAGAGCAGAGGGGCTCCAGCCCTGGCAGCCGCTCCGTGGCCTCCTCTCGTCTGGCTCAGCAGCTCCACGTCCTTCTGATATTTGGGGCCAATGACAACACCACATTAGATGACCCATCAGGGTTAGTTAGAGGAAATGCTACCATCAAAAGGCTTCCTTTTCCTTGTCATATCAAGAAACCAACTGCCTGCCTATATTTCAGGATAAAATATGTTTAAATGCCTTGCCCATTGTGTTCACTGTGCCATGCACCACAGCTCAGCATCCTTCTCCCTTGGTGCAGCCTTGCTGCAGTGGCTTTACTCCCAGTTCTCATCCCACTTTTGTTCATCTTTTCACTGAAATCTGACTGAACTCTGTGTTCAGAGTTGAAGAGACAGTAATTGCCATGGCAAACCTATCAGGAGGTCTTTAAATTGCAAAGACCATGTTCTCATCCTCTGGAAAAGCACACCAGTTTTATGGTCCCACTTTAATGCTTTTAAAATGCCATTTTCCCCACAAAAACTGCTGAGTGACATCTCTGTGTGAGACATAAAGGAGGAATGAAGCCCCCATCTAATTTCTCTTAACTTCAGTAAAAATGATTAGGGAGGAAGTTGTTGCTCATTTGAAAACAGGCAGTTTAAAGACTTCACAACTGCAATTTCAAAGAACTTGTTCCTGACTTTTTTTAGATGTTTAGAGTTCACCACTGAGATTCTGGTAACAGCAAAGTGATGTGAATGAAATTTAGTTTTAATTTTACTCCATGTCTTTTTATCTTGCCCCTGTTTACTTTGAGATACTGATGTTCAACCTAATATATTTAGACTCCCGGAGCAAATTTAATCACTTCCAGACTCCTCATCTCCTGATCTCAGATAGGCACTATGTATTTTCTCATATCTCAGTTCATTTACTTCTACATTTATGCAAGATCAGTATCTGTAGGTCTGTAGAAATGCAGGCTTTCTAAATATAGGCCTCAATTTTTTTTTTTATTTTTTTTTTTTTAGTCTGCTATAAGGACTAAATCCCCATTCTGGAAGAATGACTGAAAGTTTCTCAGTATCTCAGTATCCTATTTACCTAGGAAAAGGCTGGTTTTCCTCCTTTTTTATGTGGTGGGTTTTTTTTTTTTTTTTTGGTTTTTTTTTGTTGGGGTTTGTTGTTTGTTTTTTGATTGCTGCTGCCTTTTTCTCCATGAAACAAGGAAGTATGAAAAATCTGGACTTAGCTCCTTCATCTGCCTGAGTAGATTTGAATCCAGGTGATAAGCAGTCTGTCTAAAGTAATTAATTTCAGATTCTTGATTATCTCAGTTGCCATCAACCAAGGGGAGCCATGAAGAGTCTAATTATGGATAAACCAGACTTTTCTGTGTTGCAGAAGCAAAGACAAAAGTAAATAACAAGGCTATGGAGCCAGACTTCTTTTTGCCTTAACAAGGCCTTTCTCTCAATTCACCAACTGCTCTGACATTGTCTAACAGAGTTTTAAATAGCCTAGCTGCCCCACTGACTCCTTTTGGGTGGCTTTTCCAAAAGAGAAGGTATCTTATTCCTTTTTTATTTGAACTCAAGTCCGAACAGTTTATATACCCTTGGTTTTCCTTTTCTTTCTCCAAAGGAACTACCTTTTCCAGGAGCAGTGTCTTGACTCAGATAGTCAACTGCCCAGGCCTTGAACTCACAGCACATAGCCATTCCAGAGGTCTGTTTCTGCAATTCATGGACATGATTCCAAGCCTTTGGGGCACTTGTAGACCATAAATTATTTAAAAAAAAAAAACCTAAAGTACTATCCTTTTTTAGCCCTTTGTAAGGATTTACTCAGTTATCAGGCCTGGGAAGGGCTTT